AATATGAGACATACTCAAAGTCTAACTATTTAATTTGATATCAATTCTCTCACTCCTAATGCATTATAGAAATAAATATATACAACTCTTGCTTTCTTAGAAATATCACTTAGTGATATCACAATTGATACTTATTTTAAAGGAATTCTTTAGAGACATATGGATTTTGAATGTCAACATCCTGAAATTAAAGGTGAAGCAAGATGTTTTTGTAAAAAGAAAAGAGTCTATGATTCTAAAAAGAGAAAAGAAGTAAGAGTTGAAGAATGGTTTATGATGAAAGCTATAATAATGAAATTTTTGATGAAAAGTTGGATTGAAACATATCTTGCTAATAGACCTAATGATATAGGTATATAAATATTATATGCTAAGTAAGATATTTATATTAATTTAGATTTATGTTTAGCAAATTTCATAATCATTAAATTGCATTACATATTTTATCAGATTTAGAAAAGAGATTTACTTTTTTATTAGATAGATACAAATCTTATTAATTAAAATGGAAAATAATAAAATTCATAAAACATAAGAATAATGATAGTTATAAAGGGAAATTAGAGATTGAAAATGCATTATTTGTAGAAGAATAAATTAATTCAATAAAAAATAATATTACAAATATTTTGAAATAAAATTGTATATTTTGGAATAATCTTTAATAAACTACAATAGATATGAGTGAGATGGATAATCTTTTATAAATGTAATTTAAAAAAATAGAAGAAACTAAACATTTATGGATAACAATTACTAATTATTTAGAATATAAAAAGAAATGGAAATTCTATTATGCATGGTTCACTCTTTATATATTAAATAAGAAAATAAAAAATAGAATTCTTGATAACTTTTAGGGTTTTTAAGTAAATGAAAATGATATCTTCTCAGAAGAACTTTAAGAACATAATGTTGATGAAGATGTAAATAGTGTTAAATCAGGATTTTTAGATAATGAAAAAATAGAAATAAAAAGCAAGAAAATAATTTTTGATAGAAAAGCATGTATTATATAAGCTAGTGATGACATTCAATCATCAATTATCAAAGTTAATAGATAATTTACTCGTATTTTTGGATATTCTAGCGATGAAGTTGTCAAAATGTAAATTATATGTATTTTTATTTTAGATTACCAATTATTAATTTGATGCCTGATGTATATAGTAAAGTACATCCTTAAATATTGAATGATTATAAATAAACAGGTAAGAGTAATTCTCTCTATTCTTAAAGAAAGATTTATTGTCTTCATAAATCTGGTTTTATGTTTACTGCATGGAAATTTCTAAAACTATATGTTGATTTAAATGGTCAATCATAATTCGTTATTATGATTAGGCCTACTGATTTTGATAATGAAAAGAAACATGATTACATTATACTTAATAATGATTGGGAAATAAATGGAATGACAAATAATGTACTCTCAGGACTTAATCTAGATTCTCGTCTATTCAAAAAGACTTCATCTGATTTAATACTATTCAATCTTCTTTTATTTGCACCTAAACTTATTTAATATTCTAGAATAGCTCCATTGATAAATGAAGAAAGAGATTTACCAATTTTTGGAATGATGAAAAATCCTAAGAAACCTATTTAAAAGATTATAAACCATTAAAATGTTCTTGAAAATTAATTATCTAATTCAAGTAAACCTAAAATTAATGTAAATATGCTTGGCTCTTCTTCATTAAAATAATCATTTGGAAAACCTATTCAAGGTATGTATTCAGATCTTGATTTTGGATCCAAAGTTTTATTACCATAATAATCTATTGATTAATAAATACCTTAATAATTAGTAGTCTAAAATGAAAGAGATAAATTCTTATAACATTAAATGAGTTCTATTAGTGATAAAAATGAATTTGAAGATTTTAATAAATAGATAGGTTAATTTGATAAATTATAAAATCTTAATTAAGAAATGGAAAGAAGAGCTGAAGAATAGATTAATCAATTAAAAGAATCATAATTTTAAAATAATTATTAAAAAATATAAACTATGGGAAATAAAGAAAAAGATGTTTTTAGTGAGGATAATGCAAGTAGAGATGAAATGATTTAAAAAATCAAAGGTATAAAAATATTAGAAGGTAAAATTAATAGTGGAGAATAAATATAATTTAGAATGAAAATTCCAGAAAATATGGATAAAATTATTGATTATTATTCATCTTAAAAATCTAAGATGTACTAATTAAAAAAATAATAAGATGATGTATCAATTATTTAAATTATTTTAGCATGTTAAATAAGAAGAAGTCATAGATCAAGGTAAAAAGAAAGAAAAAGATAAATTCTTTATTAAATAAGGTACACATTAAAGAGAATTTAGAAAAAAAGCTAGATTGATGTTCTAAAAAGCAGCAGAAATGAAGAGATGTTAAGATGATGTGTAAATAATTATAATTCTATGATATAGAAATTTCTATGATTTATTGGTTGAGATCTATTAGAAACTAATATAAGAGTAAAAAAATCGTACATTTAAAATAAATTGTACAATTTAATTCATTAAAATTAAAGATGAAAGAGTAGGTATAATAAAAATTATATCAATAAATGAAATAATGAAAATTAAAAGAGTCCCAAGAGAAAGGGATGGAAATCGTAAATAATCATTCTTTCTTAAAAATATTTAACCTTCAAGAGAATTAAAAGGATCAAAATTATCAGCAACTAATATTTAAAATCAATTTGAAAATTCAAAATTTGTATCTATGGCAAGTGAAAATGATACTAAATAATAAGTTAGTCCTTTAGAAATTAAATCTAATTAAAAGAATCCTCTTATTAAAGATAAATCTTTTAAAGGAAATTTAGGATATTAGATGAATGTTCCAGTATAAGAAATAGATGATGATAAAGATCTATTGATTGATAGTAAAGCCTTTAATAAGATGATTAATTGGGATACTTTTTAATAATAATTTAAAATGTAACAGGGTGCACTTAATTTTTCACTTAATGCTGGTGATAATATATTTAGGAAAGAAGATAATAATAAACCTCGTAAATTCTTGATTAAGATTGCATATTTAACTTGGTTTTTGAGAATAATGTTTGTTGCCATCATTACCTTAAATCTTTTAACTTACTTTCTTAAACCCTTTTTAGAATTTAACCCAATGATTTCTTAAGCATAAAGAATCTTAGCATTATCATAAATGTAAACTACTATGATTGAAACTTATGATACTCTATTAGATCTATTAATATATTAAGATGAATCTGATTTTAATGATATGGGTATGTCAGACAAATTAACATATTATACTTATCAATTATCAAAAATTTAGGAGAGTTATGAATTTATTAAATTGTAGATCAAAGATTTAGATCAATTACAAACATTTCTTGATCATGATATTTTCTATTCTAATGCAATATCAGATGAATCTATACTTGGTTAAGCTAATACTACTCTTATTTTAGACAGTTAAGACTTTTTTTCTAAATTTGTCATGTTAGAACATCAAATATCTATGATGAATGCTACAACATTAGAAATCATAAGTCCTTCAGACCCATTTGTTAAATTTATTAGGTATGTTACTATACCATAATTATACAATTAACTAAATAATGCAGTTATTGAATTATAAAATATAGTATTGGAAAAATCCAATTCCATTTCTGATTTTGTTATAGTAATTCTTAGTGTTGAAGGTTCACTTTTAGCCAGTGGTTTTTTTGGATTGTTAATTATAATCTTTTGGATTAGTCAAACATACAAAGCAGTTTTAAAGATTTTCATTCTTATATAAAAGAATGATTTAAATAAGATTGTCAAACAATAAAAATTTATTGAAAATTAATTTAAGTATATAATTGCAAAAGATTAGGAAATAAGTGGAGTATAACCAAAAGGTGTTTATCAAAGAGTTAATTCTATAACATCTAAACATAATTTTTAATTGCAATAAAACTTCTTATTAATTAATGAAGAAGAGGAATAAAATATGAATAAAAAAAGAGAGAAAAATATCATTGATAGATAATTGCTCAAATCTTTAACTCTTAAATTATATGCAACATACATCATATTAGTATTATTATAAGCAGGAACTTCTTTTGCTTTCTTTTTTTCACTTAAATAAGCAAGTAGCAATATTAGCAATCTAATTTCAATAGGTTAAGTTTCAATTTCTGATTTTTCTAATAATTAACTACTATTAGTATCTGTTAAAGAACGATACTATAATGAGGAAAATTATATATCAAATTATCTACCAAAAGTAAAGATATTATTAGAAATTTAAATTGAAAGCATCAAATAAACCCCTTAAATTGATAATCCAGAATATGGAAATTATTATAGTGGATTTCAATCAATTTATTTTGATAATCTGTGCAATTATCTATTTAATTAAACTTGTAAATATATAATATATATATAGAATTAACTTAAATTTAATAGAATGATTGTGAATCATTAGTAAATGGTAAATTAAAAGATGGAATTGTGGCATTTAATTAATATTTCCTCTCAAATGTATAGGATTATGTTTTATTAAATGCAGATAGATTTGGATATATAAATAATAAAATTCTTTGGAATTTTAATTCTTGTATAGATTATGTTAAAACAGCTTTTAAATATTTGCTTACTGAATGGGCTCAAGTATAATATCATTACAATATACAAGGATTTAAATTAGCTAATAGATTAAAATATCACATTAATTTTAGTGTTGCTTATTGTTATGCAATTATTTTAATTAATAGTATTTTTGGCAATCGCTGAAATGTATTTGGTAAATCAACTTAATAAGGCCTTTTCTTTTTATCGATTAGTTTATAAATCCTATATGCCAAATGATATCATTCAAAAAGAGAAAATCATAAGAGCCTAATTAATACGTTATAATATAATTAAGAAATGACTTTATATATAATTATATTAATTAATATATATTTCTATTTCTCAAATATCAAGATATTCATTAGATTTCAGTATTTAAATTAATAGATAATTATTTTAAATATCATAATTATAAATCAATTAAGGGTTTATTTATATGATTTTAATGGAATTATTAGATTTACATTCCTTCAAGTTTAAGTTGACGTCCTAAATGACACATCTCAACACGATTTTTTAATTAGAAATTTAATTATTCTGTTTCTAATATAAATAAATGATTTAATTCCTAAAAATTCAAATCCATATCAACTTCTCTTATGTTTTATTAAACATTTTCAAGTTCTTCATAAGTATACTATCCTTTTAATATGATTGTTATGCTATTTGAAAGAGGATATTAATTTAAAAAATCTATAAGTTAAGATTCTATTATAACCATATCTAAATTATTAAATTAAATTTATTTGTATATTACCTCTAAAGTTTTATAAGATTCAACTTTATAATCAATAATAGGAACATTTTATTTTTGTATTATGCTTGAACATTAAAAATTAAACTATTATTAATAAATAATATAGTACATGTTATTTTTCAATATCTATTAATTTATGTAATTTGACTAATTATTATTTAGCAATCTAATCATTACATAATATTTATAATTGGTTAAGTTTTGTTAAGAATTATGTTTTTAAATCTTTAAATTTTCTTACAATTCCTCCTATTAATCTTGATTCCTAATTTACAAACTATTTATTTATAATAATCTTTGAAATTTTCATATTATCTTAATCTATAAGAGCTCCTTATAACCAAGGATGAGCAAATAAATTTTCATAGTCAATTCTAGTTGTTTTATTTGTATCCAACATTTTACTTAAAAAATCTTTTCCAATATCTGATAATTTGAATTTATTTTCATCAAATTTAAGCTAATTCTATGAGAATAAAATACTTAAAAATTTTTTAATTCTTTTGCTAAATCTATTAAACTCCTTACCTTATTACTAAAATGGTATTTACGATATATCATATAATAAAGTATAACACCTAAAGACCATATATCACATTTATAATCATATTATTCTTAACTTTATATTTGTAATTTAATTACTTTAAAATTTCTGGAGCCATTGTTGCTGGTGTACCACAATATGATGTTAAGATATCATTTTTACTGTAATACTTGGCAAATCCAAAATCAGCTATTTTTACAACTTTATTTTCATCAATCAAAATATTATCAATTTTTAAATCTCTGTGTACTATTCCTTTTTAATAAATGTATTTCATTCCTTTTAATATTTCTATAAATATAGATTTGATTTCATCTTCATCTAAAATACTATTTTTAAGGAAATTATTTAAATCTCCATTACTACAATATTCAAAGACACAATATATTTCATCACTTTCTCTAAACTCTTCTATTAAAGATACTACATTATCGTTCTAAATATTTTTATAAATTTAGATTTCTTATTCAAAATATTAAAGTTATTTTTATGATTGAGAACCATCGAAATCTATTGAAATTACTTTTATAGCAAATTATTGTTTTTAGCTATTCTCAGCTAAATAAACTTTTGCAAATGAACCTTATCCTATTATTTATAAGAATTTATAGTCCCTTTTTTGCATAAGAACATTTTTCATAAATTGAAATATAATTAATTTATATATCATAATGGAGCTTACTTAATTAATATATTTAGTGGAACACTTTCATATTGAGTATCATTTATTAAATTTCTTCTATGATAATTTGAGAGCTTCTTTAGTTGTAAATATTTTATTAGAATTCTTATCTATGACTTTTTAGATAAATTCTAAGAATTTATGATAAAAATTTATTTGACAATCATTGTAGATCATTGGAAGTAAATGAATACATATTTTTAATGGAACAACTATTTAAGAATGTGGTTCACCTTATGTCAATCCTAATGTAATAATTCCTATACTTCATATATCTACCCTTTTCATCATAATCTTAAGGTTACATTCAAGCCAATCTATCTACAATAGATTTTCTATATTATCTCAGTGGTATTAATTATGTTGCAAATCCAAAGTCAGTAATCTTAATTTCTCATTTCTTATTCATGATGGTTAAACCTTCCTAGGCATATTCTTTGTCGCTATTATTTTGATCTGAAATTAATTACATGTGTAATTCAACTAATATCAAATTTTTTACTAAGCAATGTATACCTATTCTTTTCAAATTTGTATTTCTGGATTAAAAAAACAAAATTCTATTAATGTTTTTATTAAATAAATTTAAACTTTTTGAGTAACTAAAAATTTACTAAGAAAATTTATGTTATTTAATGAATACAAACCTTTGCTGATTATTATTTATAAATCTACAATGCTTTCAGTTACTAAAAAATACTTCTGATTAACGTGTATATATATAGTCTAATCTCTTAAGTTAGTAGATTTTCTCATTTTATTATTTATAATCATATATATTAATTCATTTAGATGTTTCAAATAAATCTATTATTAGTTATAATACTTCAACCTTATTTATCTACAAAAGATATGTAAATGAAGGAATTTAATCAATAATATTTAGATGTTAAATGATTGAAAATGTTTGATGGCTTAAATAACTTGTAAAATTGTTAATAAAGATATCTTTAAAAATAATGTACAACCACAAATTGTCATTTAATAAATGATGAATCTAATATAAAAAATATTTCATATATATATTATGATTTAATATATATTTAATGTATATTTAATTTTTATATTATATTAATTTAATAAAATTTAATTTTTTCTTTATTAATTTTATTATAAAATAAATATAAATTAGTCTTAGATCTTTAAAATCTAAATAATATTATTATATGTTCACTTTACTTTAGAAATAGGAATCTTTTATAAATATCATTTAATCATATTGATTTAATGATTTTATTAATGGTAGTTTTAAAGTGTCTTATACTTTTCATAATTCTTTATATTGATATAATAACTATGTCATTAACAATAAATTGATAAGTTATCATAATTACATATAGAGTTTATAATTTATTATAATTCTCAATTATACATCTAAATTTATATTAATTCTAACTCTTTTTGAGAATATTTTTATTTAGGATTGAACTTAAATAACTGGTAATTTTTAAAAAATCATTAGATTCAATTAGATTTAATGAAAATTAAAAGTTAGGATATTTATTAAGGATATTTATAAATTTAATGTTTTAGAATCCTTAGTCTATTGAAAGGGGGAATTTTGTATAAAGTTGTGATTAATTTATAAAAATAACAATAACTAATAATGAGCAATGCAAACGATATTGGTCTTATCTTCAGTTACGTCTATGACAAGATAAGCAAGATTCATCTACACAATGTCACATAAAGTTTATCATCCATAAAGATACAACTTGAACTAATCCTAGGATAGATGGATGAGGTGACATAGAATCTTACCTATTCAAATTTAGAGTATTTATTTGATTGGGCAAAGGCTTGCCAACAATCAATGAAGATTAATTTTTTCTAAAATTAAGAGGAGGCTAGGTTGATGCATGAAATCAACTAAATTTTACTTGAAATATTTTAATACTTTCACAATGCTATTGACAAGAACTTTATGATACCACAATCAACTATATGTATTGCTAATGAGTTAGGGAATATCATTACATAAGAAGACAATTTTATGGAAGTAATGGGAAATTCTACTTTAGTGAATTTTGCTTAATTTATTGATGTCTATGCTACTCCTAATTTTAAATTAGGTTAAGAGAACATTGATAATGCTTAAGCAACATTTTATAAATTGAATTATGGTGCTTTGGAGAGGGTTTTTACATCAGAAAATACTTTATCTTAAATAATAAAAAATGTAGCTTAATAAAGAGAACATTTCTTTTAAAGATTTTAATTAAATGTAACAATAGGTAATTTTGAATTTACTAAATATGATGAATAGAATTAGTTTTTCTTTTATCATCCATTATATGCTTTAAATGAAGAAAAGATTAAAAAGTTGTTGATAGTGTAATTTGTGGCTTTAAATTATTAACCATCAATTTAATTAGATGAATTCATACAATCTCCTAAATTTGCTGATAACATCAGAAAATTCTACCAGAAATTGATAAATACAATATAAGATGAATGATTATTATTAATTAATTCAAAATTTTATTTTTAATATTTAAAATATTAACTCACAAATCTAAAACTCATTTAGAATAATTGAATATTAAAATTTAAAAACTTAATACACTTGTACATCAAAGAATTCTAAAATTCATCTATTAATTTCTTTTGAGATTTTTTTACAAATAAAGATTATTTATAAACTCAAAAAAATAATCTACTCTATTTACAATTATTATTATTTATTTAATTAAATTATTCTAAATATATACAAATTATTGTAGATTCAAAATTATTAATTTATATAAAGATAAACAAATTCAATTTGCTCAACATCTTAAATAATTTTAATTAATATTTAACTAAAATTGAAAATCTTATAGAATTTTTAAGATGTTCAAATAAATTCTATGAAATTAAATAGATTTAAATTCATTAAAGATGATAGTTTATATAAATTCTTTGATTTCTACTTGATTTAAGAATTCTGAAAAAAAATAAAATAATTTAGTTACAAAAAGAGGATGTTAACTTAATTTAACTAGATTCATTTAATGAATTTATATAATCTAAATAGAATACTCAAATATCATTTGATAGTTTTATAAATTAAATATATTCAAAAATTATTGTCTTTATATGAATTAGAATTCAAATTAAATTTATAAAATACAAAATTAAATAGAATTGATTTATTTAAGATCAATTATTTAAATTAGACAGTTTTTGTTTTATATTAATAAATAAAGAGTAATATAATATATATGAGTACAAATAATAATTAAAAAAATAATTAATCATTATTTAAGGTATCTCTATACTTTACGAATCTTAGTGATTACAAAACATTTGATTGAATAAGGGGAAACATGTGGCTTTTTATGTTTATTTAAAGAAGCAATTGCAAAACTTTATTATCTGATGATAACTTGATCATAATTATTATGTGGATAGTAGATCTTATAACTTTTCATTTTTTCAAATTTATTAAAAATGACATCATTTATAAAATATCCTTGATTCTAAAATTTGATTTACAATTACATCAGGAGAAGTAATAGCTTAGAACTAGGATTACTAAGCTAAATTACTCTATTTTGTTCCAGTTCTTTGACTCTTTTATTTATTTTTATTCTCATCTGATTGTGTATTGGCACTATTAGTTTTTTTAACATTATCCTTTGTTTGACTAGATAAACCCAATGATTTATTTTATCTTGAATTAGAAGATGGATTATTAGAGATATCTTTGGAATATGAATTAGTATATGTATGTGATCTATTAGTAGGTTATCTTTAAGATTATTTCATATTTACATAGGAGAACTATTATTGAATGAAATCTTATTTAATAATATCCTATTTATTTGTTGATTATGATGGACCATCTTTTTAAAATTGGAATGTCAATTTATTAGGACTACTCCTATTAGTAGTTGGTAAAAATAGTTATTTTTAATTAATTAATTCATTCCTCTATCCCTCTTGCAATTACAATAGAATCTCTTTATCATCCTTATCTAAAGTTGAATAATTTTGACTTTAAGGGTTTCCAACAAAGCCAGCAGTTCTATGAGAAGTTTTATTTGAGTTGTGTCTTAATCGTCTTATAGATTAATCTAAAATAGGTGGAGTCACATCTTCTTATTATTCTTATTCATAATTTAATTATTCTAAACTATCTACATTTACATTACTATTAGAAACCTATTAATCTTAACTTGCTTTTTAAAATGGCATTGAATTGCTAACATAACTAACAGAATAAGTTTAATCTAATTAAATTTGGAGATATACTTTCAGAGTAAGGTAATTATGATGCTTCAGGAAGATCTTCTGAAATAATATCTTAACTTTATTTATTAATAACTTATTTAGCTTTATCTTGATTTTGAGATAGATTTTTCATAGTTAAATATTTTTAGTTTTTTCTTTTATAAGATTACCTAACTTATTTTAAACTATATAAATATTTCTCAATAACATTTTGTCTTTATGGGAAATATTAAATGTGTTTACATTCAACAATATAATGGCCTTTGATTTTGCAATAATAGCAATCAAATAAATGTTAATTATAAAATGAATTGTCTTTCATCATACAGAAAATCTCATTGTCTTATGGATAATTTGAGATTATCTCTAAGAATTCTGATCTCTTAAGTTTCATAAGAGTTGTAACTCCACAACTGTATATACTAATATTTGAAGGTACTCCAGAAATAAAAGAATATTATCCAAATGCTTATCCTTCTTGTAAACGAGTGACTGATCTTTTATTATTAGCAAGAGATGATCCTTAGAATTACACCTTAACTTCTCCTTTTAGAATATAATACAATCCCAAATCCTCAATTTAATGTTCCTAATAATATTTTAATTATATTTACTATTATTATATTATCTTCAGGATTGAAAGTAACTTATTCAATGACATATAATAATTGTTATTTGAATTATGGTGAGAATTTATTCATTAATTCTATTTTATCAATCATTCTTGTTCTCAAAGATAAATCAATTTCATCTTATAAAGCAGGACTTAACTTTTTAGTTAATTGATCTTTTGTTCTACCTATATCTTCCTATAAATATATAATAATTCTAATTTATTTACATCAATTCTAAAATCTAAATATGAATAACATCTCCTTAATAAATCTTAATCTTTACATTTCTCTTTCAATAATTCCACAAATCCTTATAATAATTTTTGTTTCTCTTCTTGAATCTCTAATTCAGGTTTGATCCAAACAAATAATAGTATGAATGTATAAACATAACATAAATAAGAGATCAACATAAAGGCTGAAACTATTATAGAATTTTATTCATTAATTTCCATAGCTCAAATTATATTTATCAGTTATTACAAATATTTGAATTTTAAGTGATCAAAGATATTGAATACATTATATAAAATCTTAGAGAATATTCCTCATCATTAAACACTCTTAATATACTTATACATATACTTTTTAAAAAACAAGTGCATAATATTATGATTGAAATCCATAATTATATAATGAATATCATATAATGAGTTGATTTATAGACATTTTCAAAAGATTCCCAACTTCTAATTAAATCTAAAACAATAAGTAAAGATATTAAAATTATCAAAATTACATCCTTATCAAATTCCAAAAATACTATCAAAATTATCACTATTAATCTAAATATATCTAAATATAATTTATTCCAATTCTTAAAATTGCTAATTAATTTTCCTCTTATTAATTTATATGGTCCTCTTAAATAATATATATCTTATAAAAGTGTCAAAATCTTAATTCCAAATATTATTTACTGAATAATCCTAGGTCCTTCAAATAAAATTATTAAAGGTATTAAAATAATTGAAAGTAAATTAGATATGATAACAGATAAAAATACATACATTGTGAAATAATAATATTTCAATGGAGAAACTAAAATTATTTAAATATAATACCATCATTTTATTCTTATGTTACTAATGGATCGTTGTATTTTGAATAATGTATAGAATTCAATAACTTTTATTTTATCTCATTTACTATTATCTTTACTCTTCCCTATGTATGCTTTCTATTATGATCAGAAAGTAAATGAGATTAAAATAGAGATGAGGAAGAAATAAGTGAACTATCATTCGATATGAAAACTAATTTCTTTGAATCTGATTTTTAATGCAATAAATCAGAACTCTTATGAGAAGCAATATTTGTTATTGTGGGAACCTTATAATCATCACTACTCTAATTATCTATTGGTTATTAAGGACATGTTTATAAAAAGACCGGCTTCAAATAACAAATCTATGACAAAGAAGAATGTTCTTCCTCTTCCTATATTGATTCACTATTCTTATACTATAAAGTTTAGCTAATTCTATGTTTAGGATTATAATCAACAACTTCTTGATCTTTTATTTACTAGAGTAACTATTTTCTAATTAACATTTAATAAAAATAGTACTCATGCAATAATTGTCTCTCAATAACATCCCTTAAAATCTATTCCCATTACCTATTGTTAAATCTCATTATGAGATACAACATCTATAAGAACTAAGAAATGAATAAGAAAATCAAATATTACAAGATCATTCAAAACTATTTAAAGAGAAAACTCCTAATCGTAGAGATTAAACTTTATTATAAAAGAATAAAAGATAATCAACAGTCTCTCATGATTTAAAAAATAGTATTCGAAAGATTTCTGAATACCAAAGTCATTCATAAGAATAAATGCTCAATTCTCAACATTCAATTCATAACAATACAATTGATTGTTCAATTAATTATAAATAACTAAATAAGCATATTATAACTGAATAACAATTCTAAATAAAATAAAATCAAATCTAATAAATGATCAGAGAAAAACTTTACACCTCTTATTGTAATTCAATTAAAAAGCATTCCAAATTAAAAGGTGTCTTATTATAAAAAATTAGTTAATTGGCTCCATTTATATCTCAAGATAAAAATATGCATTAACCTCATATTAAAAGAATGAATTAATTTATGAAATTTAGATCTTAATCAATTCCTTTTAATCCTAATATTGATTCTGTTTAAAATAGTGTCTAAAGAATTGAATCTCTACCTAGAAATCAAGACAATCAAAGATAAAGAATCACAAGTAAATAATCTACTCAAAGTTAAATGATATATCATAATAAAGATGCTGACAGAATTATTCGGAAATTAAACAGAAAAACTGAAAAATTATTAAATGAAACATATCCTGAAATTGATCCAAATCCTATTGTCGATTATCAAAAATAAATCTTAAATAGAATTGAACTCAGAAATTCTACAAAAAAGAAACTAATAGATAGCTTTCAAGAAATTATTGATAAATATTGAAAATATAAAATTATTTAATCTTTTTAATAAAATTACTTCAAATATTCATTAATCTACTCTATACTTGAAATTCTTATATATTATTCAATTAATCATATGATTTATTAATTAATTATTAATATATAATTAAGATTTTTATAATCTAAATCATAAATAAACATCATAAAATTATCTATTAATAAGAGAATATTTTTTAATAAAACAACTATTCCCATTATAGTATTTATTATTATAATTCCTAAAGTTATGATTCAATTTCAAAAATTAATTAAGGAGAACATTTTATAATATACATAATAAAAAAAGTTAGATTTTTTATTCATTATTTTATTTTTAATAATTGAATATAATAATTTTTTAGTTAAAAGTCATCATATATTATTTGCTCTATCTATTATAATATTAATAATAATAATAATATTCAATTGATAAAATCATAAACACTTTTTTTAAATACTAAAAATGACAATCTTAAAAAAATTTAAAAATTAATTAAACTAAGTAAGAATGTAATAATTAAGATCTTTTTTAATATTTGATAATATAAAGGAAAGTACTTAGTATCTGTATTTATAGGTTTCATTTATAAAAATGTTGATCATTAATAAATGCTGTTATTAATATTAAATATATTGATTTTTATATATGAATAAATGCAAAATAAAGCAAATTATTCAAATATGTAATCTTAAAATCAATTTTTGTGTATTTTCATTAATAAAAATAACCCTTCAAATTATAAATGAGCTTAGAGAAAATTAAAAAATAGAAGTTAAATGTGTTTTAAGTATAGAAAAACAAAATGAAATCTGAAGATAGGGTTATTGTAAACACATCGAATAATTTTAAAGTATTCTCTCCACAGCAATCTCCTCAAATTAAATAAATTCTCAATCGTACTCAATTCTAACTTGAAAGATCGAGATCATCATAAAAAATAGAAAATATTATAATGCAAATATAATAGAATGTATCTAAGAATAATATAAACATAATCAATAAAAATAAAGACATCTATAAAGAGAGTCCTTATTTGATTTAAGAAATGAAAAAGGAGATTAATATTCAGTTTTTGAGATAATGTAAAGCCAATAATACTGCAGCTTGTCTCTAATTATTAGAACCTACAATTGTTCATTAAGTTTGTAAGTTAATTGGATTAAATTTTATAGTAAATATATCACCATAGATTCCAATAAATCCAGATCTAAAAGCCAATATAAATATTTAAGATGACGATTACAATTCTGCTCTACATATTGCTGTGAAAAATAAGAATATTTAATTAGTTCAAGCTTTAGTTTATAAATAAATTAACTTAGAGATTGAAAATTCATAAAAGATGACTTCATTAATACTGGCTAGTTATCAGTAAATTATTTATTTTAATTTTAAAAAGTGGAAATGTGGAAATATTTTAGATCTTAATTAATGAAGGAGCTTAATTTAATCATTAAGACATATATGGTAACACATGTCTACATTATGCTTGTAAATTCATTTGCAAAGAAATTGTAGCAATTATTCTTAAACTACCACATCTCATATTTAAACCTAATAATGATCAGAAGTATCCTGATTATTATATTCATGATGAAGAAATAATTTAATTATTTACTCAATTTCAATTGGAACATTCAAAATAAAGTAACTTTTAATTAAAATAAATATATAGATAAAAAAACAAAAGAAATCTAGATCTAAAATATATAAATGGAAGACTAGTGTAAATCAAATACATTCTCTACAAATAAATATAAATTACAAAATAATCCTAAACATAATTTATCACCTGATAATAAATTATGTATTTTTCAATTTAAAAGAAATATAAATTAATAGAAAAAAGGAAATGTTAATACTCCTTCTACTATAGATTCGATGAAATAATCAAAAAAAGAAGAAAAAATTGATCCTTAACATTTTCGCGTATTAGGTTTATTAGGAAAAGGAAGTTTTGGAAAAGTATATCTAGTACAAAAGAATAAAAAGTTATATGCAATGAAAGTACTTCTTAAGAGTATGATTTTCAGTAATAAATAAATTATATTAATAAGAATAAAACATTTGTAGATATGCAATAACTGAAAGAAATGTGTTATCTGTGACATCTCACCCATTTATAGTCAAATTAAGATATGCATTTTAGACAGAAGATAAATTATTTATGATTTTAGATTATTGTCCTGGAGGAGATCTTGGGATGCTTCTTTGTAAAATTCAGAGGTTTCCTGAAGAGATTGTAAAATTATATATTTGTGAAATAATTTTGGCTTTGGAGGATCTTCATAAAAGGAACATAATATTTCGTGATTTAAAACCAGACAATATCTTACTTGATGCAGAAGGACATGTATTATTAACTGATTTTGGATTATCTAAGGAGGGAATACATAATTCAAATTAAGGAGCAAAATCATTTTGTGGTTCTGTTGCTTATTTAGCTCCTGAAATGATTAAAAGATAAGGCCATGGAAAAGCTGTAGATTGGTATTTACTAGGAGTAGTAATGTATGAATTGTTGTCAGGGTTGCCTCCTTATTATACAAATGATAGAGATGCGTTATTTTATAATATTGAAAATGCCAGTCTAAAAATACCTTAATTCATTTCAATTGAATGTAGAAACTTAATAAGATCAGTAATTTAGATTGTTTATTTTAGTTATTGGAGAGAAATCCTACTAGACGTTTGGGATCAGGATAAGGAGACTCATAGGAAATAAAAGCTCATCCATATTTTGTAGATGTAGATTGGAAAAGAGTATTAAATAGAGAACTTTAAATGCCAAAACCAGATTATAGTTTAAAATTAAAACATATAGGAGAATAGAATATTTTTGAATTGTAGAATTGTATGGATTTTGAGTAATCTCATATTAATGGATGGTCATATGTTCAAACAGAATGAAATATAATTGATTCTATTGATTAACTAAATATTTCAATATTATGATGGTTGTTTATCAGATTTGGCACCAAAGAATTTCAAACACAATTATTCAATGTCTTCTAAAGTGACTCTTCCTGTTCCCTTTCCTATTGTTATATATTTTAGATACTATCTAAGATTCTGGAATATGAAGCAATATCTGTAGGTGTTGGATTGAATCCTTTATTCATAGCTCTATAACAATCACTNGAGTATGATTTTCAGTAATAAATAAATTATATTAATAAGAATAAAACATTTGTAGATATGCAATAACTGAAAGAAATGTGTTATCTGTGACATCTCACCCATTTATAGTCAAATTAAGATATGCATTTTAGACAGAAGATAAATTATTTATGATTTTAGATTATTGTCCTGGAGGAGATCTTGGGATGCTTCTTTGTAAAATTCAGAGGTTTCCTGAAGAGATTGTAAAATTATATATTTGTGAAATAATTTTGGCTTTGGAGGATCTTCATAAAAGGAACATAATATTTCGTGATTTAAAACCAGACAATATCTTACTTGATGCAGAAGGACATGTATTATTAACTGATTTTGGATTATCTAAGGAGGGAATACATAATTCAAATTAAGGAGCAAAATCATTTTGTGGTTCTGTTGCTTATTTAGCTCCTGAAATGATTAAAAGATAAGGCCATGGAAAAGCTGTAGATTGGTATTTACTAGGAGTAGTAATGTATGAATTGTTGTCAGGGTTGCCTCCTTATTATACAAATGATAGAGATGCGTTATTTTATAATATTGAAAATGCCAGTCTAAAAATACCTTAATTCATTTCAATTGAATGTAGAAACTTAATAAGATCAGTAATTTAGATTGTTTATTTTAGTTATTGGAGAGAAATCCTACTAGACGTTTGGGATCAGGATAAGGAGACTCATAGGAAATAAAAGCTCATCCATATTTTGTAGATGTAGATTGGAAAAGAGTATTAAATAGAGAACTTTAAATGCCAAAACCAGATTATAGTTTAAAATTAAAACATATAGGAGAATAGAATATTTTTGAATTGTAGAATTGTATGGATTTTGAGTAATCTCATATTAATGGATGGTCATATGTTCAAACAGAATGAAATATAATTGATTCTATTGATTAACTAAATATTTCAATATTATGATGGTTGTTTATCAGATTTGGCACCAAAGAATTTCAAACACAATTATTCAATGTCTTCTAAAGTGACTCTTCCTGTTCCCTTTCCTATTGTTATATATTTTAGATACTATCTAAGATTCTGGAATATGAAGCAATATCTGTAGGTGTTGGATTGAATCCTTTATTCATAGCTCTATAACAATCACTTAACATATATCCAACTTCGAAAGAATCAATATTTCCATCAGAGTTACCATCATAAAGAGCAAGAATTCTTTGAGCCAATTATTTGCATTATTCTGGGTCCAAAACACCGCCGAAATTAACAGCATCTGTAATTTGGTAATGTGAATATTTGATTTACTTATTTGGGTCCATGAAAAACTGTTAATTTAATTATTGTATATAAATACTCAAATTCAAAATAGTTTTAGTATAGAATTCAATAATTATTATGTTTATGTAAATATTTATCTACCATTTCCTTCTACCAATATAATACATTATTCACAACATTTATAGGAATGTCATAAACTTCAGGTAATCCTTCATGAAGTTCTGTTTTCTTGAGATTGTGAAATCTTGTATATTTGTCTAGAATGATTTTTCATTCAATCTATACCTTCAATATTTTCATATGAATTAATGTTATTACAGAAACAATAATTTAAAGCTGTATAACCAGTTATCACTGTAAAAATAGTAGCAACAAAGAAACTAGGTATTGCCAAAGCCCAATATTTTTAAGGGAAGAAATGAATTCCTAATGACTATAGATTAGTTTTTAAGGAACATATTACATGCAATGCTGATTCAGGTAAGAATACCCATGCTAAATAAACTACAAATACTATGTATGAAGATATCCATCCAATGAATCCGTATATTTCAATGCTTTTCATTAATATAAAAAAAATATAAATGAATCAGAGTAATTTAAAAAGTATTTATTTATTTTGTATTCTTTTTTTAATTTGGTAAGGCATTAACTTATCGATTTTCTTCAATATTTATTCCTTATCTAAATGTTTTATTTTTTTTATGGCATTTATTTTTATGTTATTATTTTTAATCCTTATATAATGGTTCCCTAATATTTAATGAATTTTTATTATTTTTTTCTGTTCTTCACAATTCAAAAATTAACCATTAAAACGTAAGCGTCTATCAGCTATTTATTTTCTACATTCATAAAGAGTTCTATTCATCCACATTTTCTTTTTTGCTCTATACCTTTATAAACATTCTTTGCGAATATAATTTTTTTCAATTAATTTTTCCTCACCTTGAGATATTACAACCACACTGTCCAATTTAGATTCTTAAATAGTTGATTAGGTTTCATTTGAAATGAGAAAATTATTAAGAACAATCATTTTCTTCAAAAGTTATTACTACTATTGTAACACTAAATTTAATACAGATTAATTCCCTAAGAATTTTATTAACTCGTTTTTCAGCTCGTAACTGATCTATCCTAAATCATCTATGAATTAAGGATAGTTGTATAGATATTGCATTTGTTTTTCTAATTAATGTATTAGAAAAAAATAGGATTATTCGATCATTTTGAATCCCAAAAACAATGTTCTCGGAATTAAATACAATGGACCCCCTTTACTTTTTATTAAATTATTTTTATACTATCTTATTCTCAATTATATTAGCCATAATAAATGAGACCTACATTATATATATAAAAATATATTCATTATTCAATTTCTCTTTTATGGCCACATCCTCCACAATATTTATGTCCCAATTACATCTTGTTACCACATTATGTACAAAATTTTAATTAGGTTTTCAATTGAATATCAGTCTCCTTAAGTATCTTTTTCATTTATGGTTATTAACCAATAATGACAGGTAAAACAGGTTCTAATTTTTTTGGTTTAGGTAAATTAGCCTTATTTTTTAATTTCAATTCTTAAGGTTTGATATTATAAAATTTTTACTAAATTATTCTTTACTCATCAATTTCTCACAAATAGGAACATGACGAAGTGCAGCTTTTGGATTAAATTTACGTAAACAATGTGGACATTCAGTATCTGATAAAGCAGTTGCTCTTGTTTAACAATCCATAAATCCTAACATATTCATTCTATCAATTACCAAATCCTGTATAAATAGCTTTCTTTAATTCTGGAAGTTATCTTTTTTAAACTTCTGCTGTTTTCATTAAACTTTAAGCACGAAATGATTGCTTAGTTTGATCAATATTTTCATTTTAATTTGTCGTTGATGCTGTACTTAACTAAGTCGTTCTTTTCATTTCTTATTGTTATTTTTTTTTAGGTGGTTTTGGTTTAGCTTTGATTTCTTTACACTTTGGAATATGTCTTTCAGCAACATCTTTTGAATAATTTCTTTGAATTATTACATCTATCAAAACTACGTTAACAATATTCACAAAACACATATTGTGAATTCTCTGCTAATTCTGGAGTCTTTACGGTTCTCTCCTCACCACCTTCATTTTGAACCTCATTTATTCATTCAATGTACTACCTCTTTATCTTTTTTATTGCAATGAATCATCTCTTAAAATTACTTATGTTATTCTCTCCAATTATTAACTGTTTTATTTTTCACTTGTTTCTCCCTAGTATCCAACATCTATTAAAGTTCAGCTTTCTTTTATTATTTACGTTTTATTAACTTATCTCTTTCCTTTTATTTTTATTAAGCATTCTCACACACTTACCTATGTTTTCCAATTCTCTCTGTATGAAATTTTCTGGAACATATCTCACATTACTCCAATTCCCCTTCTCCTACTCCTTACTACTCCTATTCAAAGTTCATAAATTCATTATTTTCATCTAAACATTCTGAATGCTCAAATTATTCCTCATCATATTCATCCATTAATTTATTATATAATACTTTATATATCTATATAACTAATAAAAAATTAATAATTAATATATATTATATATGTCTTAATTTGTTACTCTTTTTTAGATCATTTTCTTCTATTACATAAACCAATTAATTTATATAGAATCTTTATATTATAATTTATATCTTTTATTATTTTAACATTTTTTTAATATTAAATAACAAAATTCTTAAATGTTCTTCATGTATAAACATTTTCAGTTTCAAATTACTTTTTATTAACTATTTCATATAAATTTTTGTAATTTATATTTTATAATTTGTTTTACTACTTAACTTTAGAATAATGTCAATGAAGAAATCAATTCCTTCAAGCTATCAAAAAATATAATCAGAAAATAGGTATATCATCCAATTACAATATCCAAGGTAGTCATTGTCTAAATTAATAAGAGTCTCAAGCATGACCAATTTATCCAACACCAGTACATGCTGATACTATTTAATATTAGGTACGGTAGTCAAATTTTCCATTAAAGAATTGCTAGAAAAATAAAAAAAAGGTGAAATTACTAAACTCTCTCAATAAAAAGAAAATTTTATCTCTAAAATTGCTCCAATCAAAATAAAAGCATAAAACTCAAAAAATAATTCACCTCGTTTTAGAATAAAAATACTTACAAGTCCTCTTAGTACTAATAGAACAACATTATCAAAATCATCTTAAGTTTCTCCTTTAAGACCAAGCAAACCTTTATTATATAAGGATTTCATCTGTTAATCATAACCACATATATAAACCAATTAAATTGAAAAATAAGATGAATATGTATCCATTTCTAATAATTCTCCAACAAGAATAGAAAACTTGGAAGACAATTCACCTACACTTAATATCATAACTAAAAATATTGAAATTGAACAAGAAAAAATATTAAAGGAAGATATTAAACCTCCTAAGAAAACCAAAAAAGAATTAAAAGGTTGTTTATTAAGAGCTTTAAGAAAGCTTAAGGAAATGAATATAAATACTAAAATTATGCTCCAAAAATAAATCTTCTCAAAAAAACCATATCAAAAACCAAATTCAAAAGAGTTCATTCATGCTGTCAAATTAAATCAATTAGAAAAAGTAAAATAATACTTAGAGAAGAACAAATACATAATTTTTGATTTCGATTATTTTAATATGACAGCTTTACATTGGTCTAGTAAAAAGGGATTATATGAAATGACAGAATTCCTAATAAAAAATCATGCTGATGTTGATGCTATTGATATTTTGAATAGGACTCCTCTCTATTTATCAATTCAAGAAAATAATATTCCTATTGTTGAAGTAAAAATATATAGTAGTTTTATTTTAGTTACTATTAAGGAATAAAGCCTATCCTTGGTCAACATCTGTAACTGATTTAAGTGAAGCTGTTGGAGACAATAGAAGAATTAGAACAATTTTAACTTAAATTAGAAGAGTAATATTTTATAATTATTTATTAGGTTGATATAATAAATATGTGGGGTGAAAAAAAATTGAAGGAAGAATTGTTTTGAATTATTAATATTGTATTAAAATACTTATAAATTTTGAATTGAATTTGAAAGTACTATTTTATTAATTTTAATCAGATTGATAAAAATATTTAAATAAAATGATGATAAAGAAGATATATCATTTAATTCATTAGTTATCAAAATTAAAATTTATACTTTGATATAACAAACTATGTTAAATAATCATTTATAGTATATTAAGTTTAAAATTATAAATTTAGTATTTATATATATATAGATTAGGTAATTACAAAGGATTAGGTTTAATATTCTATTTTTTTTTTTTTAATAAGATTTCTATTTATTGTAATTTCTACTCACTATCTAATTTCTGATGAAAAAGGTACAATATCATATTGATGTATTCTGGAGAATTATAAAAAAGGGAATTATTTTTGATTGGAATTTTCTTTATATTATTTATACACAATTAGACAAATAAAGTATATAATAAATTTAATACAAATATATGAAATATAATAAAATATCATTCAATGATAAAAGATTATTTTTTAAATATTGACTAAAATTCTTTTTTATTTATTTTAGGAATATAAAAATTTAAATAAATTTATAAAACTCTAAAGACATTATTTAATAATTTATCATTAATTTATTAATGCAATCTTTGTTGAATCCATTTTCTTATTGGAATTTTTAGGGTAAAAACAATAAAAGCATGTGAAAATGAACATAAGAATAAAGAAAAAACTTAGTAGAAAAGATATGATTTTTATATAGCCAAAAAATTTATCCCAATAATTTATTATGGCTTTTGAGCAAGAAGTACTTGCATTATAATATAAATATTTTACGATGCATTTATCTTCGAATTCACATTGTTAAAATATTGAATAGGATATTAGGTACACCAACCAGAACATTCATAAAATGATTCAATCTATTATAAAGATGCAATTTCTGTTTTGTTATAATTTTAAGATTAAGTACATTATTCAAATCTTACTGGCTATGATAAAAGGTTTTTATTTACTAATGTTTTATCTGTTGCTGAATACTTTTAGACATACTTTAATTAATTTCGAGTGATTGTTCCTGAAAAATAGCATTCACAACCATCTTTACAAAGAGTTTCAGCAGCTGCTTTATATAAGATATCCTTCTCATATATTTTTGTATTATCACATATATATGAATTAGAAAAATTAGAAAATGCTGAAAACAAACTAATTAATGCATATGTCAAGGCAAATATAAAAAAAAAGCAACAGTTACATGTATTAAAAATACCTAATAAACATTTGTTCTCTTATCGTATGCCAATTAATCCAATTATTGCAACAATTACTATAATAATTACTATAATCTAATAAAAAGTAAAATAGGAAAGTGTCGATTATTAGACCTAGAATGATAGTAATAATAGCTATACATCTTTATCATAATCTCCTTCATCGGCATTATTTATTTTCTTTTTTTCAATTAAAGCTCCTAACTCAACAATTAGACACAATCCAAAAATAATACCAACTCCAATAAAAAGACCCAACCTTAGAAATTTATAGGGTATGCAAGTGAAACAATTTATACCTGAAGAACCTATTTAAATTTCAAACATTTCAAATAAAATTAATGAAAAAAAAAAGATAGAAATTAAGAATTAATTCAACAAAACAAAATAAAAAAAAAAAGTATTAATTGAAATAATAAAATCTAAAATTATCTTCTTATCAATTTATTCTTGGTATGTTTATAGATTGCAACTAATTCAGATATAAAATAAGCAACTCTGTTTAGACAATTGCTTTTTCTATCTTTTCCTATCTAAAATTTCTATTCTTATTTTACATTAATCATGTGATAAAAAACATAAAAAAGTTGTTAAGTTAGTTAAATCCAAAATTTACAAATTTCATTGAGAATAATAGAAAATTTTTAATGAATAAATTTAAATGTTCTATTAAAATAAAAATATAATTTATATAAATTTTATTGTTATTCTACTATATTTATATTTAATTCATAAAGCTTTAAAATCAAGTATATGGTCTAAAGCAAAAATGAATAAAAATTTAAAATTGAATATATCAGAATCTTTATGTATATTTATTATCTTATATATTATAAAATAAAAGTTAATATTCCTTAAACATTTATGATTTCCACCTTTTAAAATACCAAGCAAGCAAGAGCTTACTTAAAGGCAAAACAAATAGATAAATAACCTTATTTTAAAAGGTGCAATTAAAGTTTTAACCAGATTCCTTACTAAATACCTTCTATTTAATGTATATTTTAAAATTTGAATAAGATGATCATCATTATTATGTTTTATATTGTTCTTCAGTATGTAATTTGTCTTTCTTTAGATTCTGTTTGAGTTTGGCCATATATTAGATTAGATTTTTGCTCAAATATAGATCTCTTATTTTGAATTTATTGCTTTGATTATAGAAATCAAGCACCTAGTTGTATTAAAAAATAAACGAATCTATTCTATTATCTTTAATTCATCATATTCTACATTACATCAGTCTTTTATCAATAATTGTTCTATATTACTATAAAAGTAAACCTAATTAGTAAATAATGAAAGTTATGTTTATTCATTTATATCAATTTAAATCTCTATTTTAAGAATTTTTTGAGTAAAGTATAAGTAAATGCTTCTTTTAGTTAAATAATCTCATCTTAATTTGAACATTGAATTTATTTATATATTTAATATGAAATTAAGTACTGTAAGAAGCTTATTTGAGTTTAGAGACACATAAATAGAGGGAATTTTAGAGAATCTTATTGGGTCTGTAGGTATATCTTATGTGGGCTATAAAATATAGGGTAACTCTAAGGATTAGGATTGCCTGATATTTGCATAATTTGTAAGAAGCAACCATTAGGGGTGTTTAAATCAGGATTTGATCAATGGTCAAGTTTCCATTGTGTATTAGGAATATGTCCAACTTCTTAAGCAGAGGTTTCAGCTTATATTCAATCTTTAATAATGAATTAAGAAAAGGACACTTTTTCTAAAATATTTGGAAGTGATGTCATCATATTTAAAGTATTTAGAATTATATTAATTATTAGATCACTTACATAACATATGATATATTTTCAAAGATTCTCTTGATATGTCAATTTGAAAAGCCTAGTGAAGGACTGTCGTAGTTTAAAAATTATGGTATATAGTAAAATAAATAATGTATTCAATTAACGAAAAGTCATTGGGAAGGAGCTCACATAAGTGGAATTTTAAGGATATTGGATGGCAATTTCAGAATGCCAAATATTGGTAGATTCTATAATTAGACTAGTATAAATAATCCAAAATTTTTATAAAATCTGATTGGAAAATTGCTTTAAAAGATATCTGGTTTAGATAATTAATTTCAAGAACTCAATAAAATAAAATCAAAATCTGATTTTCCTCCTCTAAATGATATAATTTTCTATCTTAATTGGCCATTGAGTATCATTTTCAATTATTTACATAATACAAATTAATTAGATTTATTGCTTGAACAATTTAATAATTTAGATGATAACATTATATTTAAATTGATCAAATCCTTAATACATTATAAAATGAAGTAATAAAGATTTTAATTATAATAGAAATTATAATAAGAGTTTGCATGAATTAATAAAATTATAAGAATCCAATAATTGGTTTAATCTTCCAAAATTCATAATGGCAAATATATTTATAAAATAAACTAATTATGAAAAGGCTTTTATATTATTATAAGATTTAATAGTAGAATGTTATGAAAATTAAACTATTTGGATAACTTTAGTATATAAAATATATTAATATTTTAGTCTAAAATATTTCGTAAATAGAAGTTATTTTAAATTAGTCTTATATTGATAAATAAAGCTATTGCTTTACCATTAAAATAGACAGTAAAATAAGTATGGAATGATATGAATCTACACAATTATAGATTATTGACTTAAAATAAAAATTTATAATAGGCTTCATAGATGGATTAGATTTATAAAATTGTGCATCCTTTGGCAGCTGATAAAATTGAAAGTTATGTATAATTATGTGGATATCCAAGTATAGAAAATTTATTAGTTAGACCAAGAATGAATAATAAAAAAGATTAAAAAGTATTATCTTAATTTAATAATTCTTAGAATACAATTGAAATGATGTTCAAACATATCTCAAGACCAGAGTTCAAGGTTAATTAATAAGCATATGATACTTTAATGCATAATGATCTCTTAGATATTGAAAGTGAATTATCCAATATTCTCAAAGAAGTTATTAAAATATAACATGTTGTGGGATATTAAAAATTAAAATCTTATATTAATTAATATTTTTATACTACAGCTAAAGTAGTTTAAAAATAAATAGATTAAATATATGATCCAAGTGAATTTTCAATTGCTATAAAAAATTAGAGAAACTTAAATTTAAATGTTAGTTAGATAAGCAATACAAATGTATGAATTATATTCTTATAAATTAAGAAAAGTATGTGTAATCCAAGATTATAAGATGACATAGAAGATTGTGATTCTGATGAAGAGTAACCTGAATTTCTAAAAAAATAAAAAGTCAATAAATCTTTCGATTTTACAAATATAGGTCCTCGAATGTATTAAACTCCATAACATAATAATAAAGCTGTTAAATCACCATTAAAATTTACAAGCATGAAAAAGAAATAATAATAAATTAAGAAAGCTAATACAATTATAATAGAAAATGCTTTTGAAAGTGTTGAATCAGAGAGATAAAATAAATAATTTATAACAATTGTAAATAGAGTTAATATATAATAAAATGAAATGATCTCATAAGCACCTAAATCAGGCTAAGATGTTTAACCATAGAAATCATTTATATATGGTTTGGTTTCTTACTTGAATTAAAATTAAAATTAATAGGAATAAGTTTTGATGAATGAATAATTGAAAAGGAGAAAAGAGTAATTGAATAATTTATTATAAGGAATGGTTGATACAATTAATAGAATATAAACTGAATTAGATTAATTATTTTATCCATCTCAAGATTCAAATAAATAATAAAATAATCAATAAAACTCTTAATTAAATTAAACAAATAACTAATAATCAGCAAACTCATCCACTTAATTATTTAAATCTAATTTAAAGAAAGCTTTATAAACTAAATAACATTTGGGTGGATAAATAGAATTAAAAGAATTTTATATTGTACAACCTTTAAATGAAGATGAACCAGATAAAGAGAAGACATATATATCTTTTATTAAGGCTGAATCAATGTTTTTATATAAATGTGCTCGTCTGGCATAGAAATTAAAAAGGAATGATTTATGCTACTCATTATTATAACGATTGAATAGTAGAATTATATCAGTTTAAATTACAGCGCTCTTCTTTAATATAATAAAAGACAATAATAAATTATTGATTAGACAGTATTTATATATAAATAAATGTATTTATAGAATTTAGAAAATGTTGGCTGACTTTTAAGAATGTGGAATAAGCCAGGTTGGATTTGTACCATTATGGTTAGAAACGAGAATAGTAAAAATGACAAAGTAATATGGAGCTAATTAAATACTTGGTTTATTATCTTCATCAGAAACTGATTTCACATTCTACTTAATTAAAAAGATCATTCTAACAACTGATAATTTAATATGATTATTAACACTTATGATATTAATGATATATTGATATTTCTTTATATTTGAATATAAAATTCAATAAATTTAAATATATTATCACAGTATAGTTTAATTTTCAATAACAATCTCTTAACCTTATACTATTTTTATAGAAATTTAGTAATGCATTAATATTTACATCATTAGGGTATTTTGATATCTTCATAATTTTTCTAATTTTTTATTTAATTAATAGTTTATTGATGAAGAAAAATTTCTGAATGAATATATTCAACAGCTTATAATTAAAATACAATTCTTTTTTGGTTTTTTGATAATAGATTACTTTTAAATTTTGATATAAGTTAATACAACTTATATATATTTTAGATGAAGTCGATCATTTTGAATTGAAAATTTTCTTACTCTAATTATTTTTTTAGTATAAACTTCTAATTTTATTTCATCAAAAGTAATTGGAAACTCTAGTAACATTATTAATTATAAATGAATTCCTTATTAGAGTAACCATTTCAATATAGATAACTCAGATCTTAATCACTCAGTCCTTATAACGACTGCAATCTTATTAAACAACTCAAGAAATAACTCCATTACCCACCTTAAAAAATAATGTAATTGGCATCTTATGAGTATATGTAAAATCCAGAATAAGATGAAACAAATGTGATTAGTTCAGGTAAACATGTTTTTAATAGAATATAGATTCCATATAACATTATCAAAGGATGACTAGGGAAAGAAAAAACTCATTAATAGTTGACTCTGACCTAAATACTTTAAAATAAGAAGCAGCATAAAGTGCAGATATAAATTAACTTAAATAAATTGTACCCAAACTTGTAGTAGTTAAAAAATTGAATTAGAAGTTATCTAGAAAAAAGAAGAAAAAGATAAATCCAGTCAACCCATAGGATTGTAACGATGACGACATTTTACACCAGACTATTGTTGTACAACCAAATAATGCGATGATGTAGGCACAACCAAAGAAAGAGGATATAGCCATCTTACCTTAAATAAAGAAATAAAAACTTTAAATTGAGGAATAGCCAATCAAGAGATCAGCAAGATATGAATAATTAATGGTATTAAAATAGTAATTTAGAAAAAATCTTTCGATGATTAATTTGTAGAATTATAATCATTAATAAAGAAGATGTAGAAGTAACCAATCAATAAGAAAGATAAAAAAGTTACTTTTCTTCTCTGAAATTCATTGATTTCCAATTGAATCATAATTTTATGTACTTAAGTGTTTAAATTAGAGATAATATTTAATATTAAATTAATAGTCATTATAAATTCAAGATATAAATATATATTTATATTATCTTTGCATTAATTGATTAAAAATATTTCAACTAATTTGGATTTTTTAGTATAATTATATAAGTAATGTAACAATGAATAATAATCAATTTCGATTCAATGTAATTAACTTATTAATATTATTTTATTCACTTTTATGAAATTAAATACAAGTACATCTAGTGCTCCATTCATACCATAAAGACCACTTAGTTAAAATTCATCATTTGTTTAAGGGAGAATACAAACTCCTCCAAGAGTAGCACGATTTGCTGATACATCACCACATGCATCTTTCGAATTTGAAGATTTAAATTCTCTATCACTTGAAGATATCAATAGAGAATTAGATTAGAATAGTATATTTAATTTTAAGTAGTTAATGAGGTGATCATGTTGCTTAATAGAAGAAAAAGTTTAATTTTAAATAAAAAAAGAAGATTAAAGGAGGAATTTTCAAATAAAATTGCAGAATTAAAACGTTATTAATATGAAGATTATGTTCAAGATTTATAAAGAATTGAAGATCCAATGATATAATCACTTATGCAATAGAAAAGCTTACCAAAAATGTAAAAGTTGTTAGGAAATGTAATGAGAGATTAATAAGATCGTAAAGTTATGGAATTAAGTAAATCATAAGAATTTTGGTAACATAATAAGAATGTTGAAACAGAGATTGATAATCTTCTTAAAAAATTGAAATATTTTGATAATGAATTAGAAAAAGATAATAATGAAATATATGAGATTTGTCGTTAATTAGATACAATAGATGATAGTATAAGAGATTTACTTATTACAAAAGTAGATGATAATGTATAGAGAGCAGAACCATTATTTGCAAATAAATAGAGATAATAATCAATACTTAATGGAAAATTGAATTAAAGAAATAAATTAAAGGATGAGAAAATGAATTTAATATATAAAATAATAGAAGAATTATAAAGATTAAGAGGATTAAGATAAGAGAGAATTAATAAATTAAATATTGTGTTTGGAGATGAAGAAAATATATAAAATTCTAATTATTAAGGATTATAAAATGTTTAAGGTTCATAATAGAATTTAGATTAACCATAACCATCAAAATTATAAGCTTATATGGATTTTATGGAATAATTTGATAATATTGCATAAATGAGAGATTAAATATCTAAATTAGAATAAGCTGAATAAGGATTATTAAATGATTTAGATAGATTGTATAGAGAAAGTGATCAAGTTTTTAGTGAATTAATTAGAAGAATTTCAGAGGAAGCCAAAACATTTAATGAATGGACAGAGAATCTAAAAAGAAGAATTAGATATATAAAAGCAAATGAATATTTCTTTTCTTAAACTAATTTACCTGAATAATAAAATGGATTAGTAAATTCTTTACAATTAGATTTAAAAGAAGTAAGCAGAAAATTTAAAGAAAATATGAATTATCTTAAACCATTAATTGAAGAAGATTCCACAATAAGAGCAGGTTTAGAAAAAACAGGAAGTACTATTTAATAATTTAAGAATATGATATTGTATATATAAATATATTATAATATTATTAGGGCTATTTAAAATGAAAAAGAGAGGAGAAGAGAATTATTATAAATATTAGAGAATTGTGCAAGATTAAGATAAGAGGAAGATATGTATTTTAATATACGTTATTTATAGGAAAACTGAATAATTAAGGAATATAGAATTAGAAATAAATAAGAAATTATAATAGAAACGTAATTTAGAAGAAGATTTAGATGGTGTTTTAGGAGATGCTGATTTAAATACATTTAAGAAGATAGGTATTAAAAAAATATTAATTAAAATTAGAATCATTATTACATGATTTTGATTAAGAATTAGTTCATTTGAATAATTAGAAAAGAAAAATAATTAAAGAAATTGAAGAAATTAATTAATCTGTTATTAATTTATTAGCAAGAATTAAAAGTGATTATGATGATATTTTAAGAGAAATATTACCAAAAGATTGGACTAATACATATGATTTAAAAAAAATCACAGATTTAAAAAGAATGAAGAATTACTTAAAAAAGACATTTAAACGTTTTGGTATAATGTCAGATTGAATACATTATTAATAATTTTTATAGTAATCATTTATTCATACCCAATTATGATTAAGTTCTTCTTAGTTTTTAAGTAACATCTTAATATTCAGATTATTAATTAATAAACTTATTTAATAATTCATTCCTTAATAATCTTCCTTTAATATTTCCTTAAAACAATTCCTATTTTGTAGAAAATGATATTATTGATACTTTATTATGACTAATATTTGTAAGTAATTATTATTAAGATCTATTAATACTTAGACTATTCTATTATAGAGTCATTTATTTTTCTGGAGTTTGTCTCAACTTAAAAAATCTAGGATTTGCTAACTTAGCAAATCTAAAATGCTTTGTACTTGTTTAATTTAGTTAGTATTATGATTATAATGATTACTCAATAGGCTATTCTGGAAATATTCTCTACAATGTCTTTTTCATCTATATACTTTTTTAAGTCTATTTAAAATCATTTATTCTCTTAGCTACAAATTTCTTATTAATGTTCGGAACAATCTAATTCAAAAAATAAACCCCTTCAAATACTAAGACTAATCCTTCATCACTTATACATAGAGCCTGGGATTTTCTAATTTAATAGAAATTAACACATTCAAAATCCCCTATTAATTAACCAGGTGTATATATATTGATAGATTTTGTATTAGTTTCTGTTATTTCTCTTTATTCAAAGATCCCACTTATTACTAAATATACTTATGATGCCTTTTAATTTTGATTATATAATATATCTTAGCAACACAAATGTTAGATAAAACTGTTGAGATAGAATTACTTAATTGTAGTAAATGGCAATGTTTTAAACAAATGGAATGCATATATCTGTTACAATAAAACATTTATTTTGGAAATCTCATAAGTTAACATATTGATTTTAAAATCCAACTTGGAAATTACGGCTGCTTTACATACTGATTTGGTCTTAACCATCAGGTTTGGGCTTACTTCCTAAATATGGAATACATATCTGCATAACAATCATTTCCAAATACTATCAAATTCGATCCAAAATGTTTTGTACACAATAATTCTTATTCATTAGATTAGACACTAATCTCACCAGTTAATAATATTATTAATTATTCCTGATTCTCTCTCCCTCTCAAGTAAAGAATTTGATTTTTTTTTAATTATTCGAATTTCATTAACTAATATACTAAGACTATTTATACTTAGCAACATTCCAATAGATAATCTAAAGATGAGTTTCCTTTAAAATATAAATGTGATCGCATGAAACTCATCAAACGTTAATTGTCTTCATTTGTTCTCCTTAGTTCTTCCATCTTTAGAACCTTTACACAAGACATAATGATATTTGGATTTCTTGTAATGTGCTAATCCAGTCTTCTAATATCTTCCTCATTTATATCTGTCATAGTTGCTTAATTTTACATTAATAATATCAATATAAAATCATTATAAAATTATGCAATTTTTACATAGAATGATATTTGAAGATCTTTCTTGATTTTTATATTATTATTATTTTAGGTTGTAACTTGATTTGTTATAAGATGCCTTGAGATTTACAATTTGTTAACTTTTTAAATATTAATTTCTTATGGTTTATAAATTAACTTTTGTTTGGCATATGTTCAAATTAAATTGATTTTTAGAATAACATTAACTTTGTTTCATTAATGAATATGATTTATTTTATATTTAATCTGGTTATCTAATGATATAATTTAATTAGGATAGGGTAAAAGTTAGTATAAAAATAGGATAATATAAATTTTATCAAGTTTTCATAATCAACATTTAGAAATTATAAAATTAAATAAAATTTTGATAATCTAATAGATATCTATAAATTTGAATCTTATTATATATGATAAAATTTATAAGAAAATATCTCAATTATGACTTAAGTTTTGGAATTGATCTCAATTTAAGCTTAATTATAATCATTTTTAATAATTATATATATTTCTAATTTGATAACTTTGTAATTTGAAATCAAAAATATTTTAGTAGTACAAATTTCACTTAAAAATCGTTTGAATTAAGAAATATTAAAATAAGAATTATTAGTTATAATAATTTTAATATGAAAATGAACTAAAATTCAGATGAATGCAGGTTGATCAAATAATTCGAGAACCTTTCTCTGAAACGTACACCTCATTATATTTTTACTAAATAAGAGAATAGGATTTCAATAAATAAAATTGACTTAAAAACATTTTTAAAAGAACTCTTTCAAAATGACTGAATTAACTTTAATATATATATATAATTTTGTTGAGAAACTAATGAATCGATATAACTCAACAACATGTATTTAGTGACTTTTTATCATCATCTTAATTTTGTAGTGTATTTTTGTTTTGAGCATTTGCACCCTTCTTAATTCCACAATTCTAAATTAATATATATATTATTATTATACCTCATCACGCAAATCAATTTATTTACTTTTTAATTTTTGTATGATCTCTTTAGCACTAACAATAAAAGCATCATCAATATGATCTCCTGTTTTTGCACTTGTTTCAATAAATAATATATTTTATTGTTTGGCCAATTATTTTCCTTCCTCTGTTGTTACTTCTCTCATAGACTCAAGATCAGTTTTATTACCAACCAAAATCATACTCATTGTCTAATTTCCATTTTATCTTGCTTCTTCAATCCATGTTTAAACACTGTTAAAAGATTCTCTCCTTAAATTATAGAAATAATTATTTACTTTGTGACATCATAAACAATTAAAGCTCCTGCTGCTGATCGATAATATGTTCGTGTAATGCTTTTAAATGCTTCCTATCCTGCTGTATCCCAAACTTATAATTTTATTTAAAGATCATCAACTTCTATAGGTTTAGCACCAAATTCTACTCCTATTGTTACTTCATGTTTCTATCTGAATCTTTTATCTAATAATTAAAGCAAAAGGCAAGATTTGCCAACCCCTTTGTTAAGTATAATATCATACCTGAGTCTCCTATGATGATATATTTAAAAAGAAAATCGTAAGACATAATCAGAATATATTAAAAAATAATTATATAAATATAATATTAATTTACTTGCATTAATTCTACAAGTTTTATTTGATTTTTAGGTGATTCAATCAGATTTCATACAAATCAAATCTTAATCAGTATATATGAATATATTTTGATTAATATAATTAAGAAATATTTAATAGAAATCTATCACAATATTATTAAGTATGAACCCATATCTACTTCACTTATATAAATATTCTAATAAAACATAGGATCTTCAATCTAAGTGCAAATATAATAGTCTAAAATAATATTTATTTTCTGAGCTATTCTATCCTCTAATTTATAATGCTGTTTTGTTGTAATTAATTCATAATATTGTACAAAACTAATCATATTAATTCTAATTGCAAAATAAAATAAGATCATATAATTAGTCTTATATTGATTACAAAGTAAGAATACGTGCTTCATAAATAGAATATACGAGTGATCTATCATTTTTGAAGAATATCTATATATCACTCTTACAGGTCATATTATATATATAGAGCTTTTAAAGAAAGTACATCTATTCTTATGAAACTAATTTATGTTATCATAATCTATTTTTAATTGGTGTTAGAAATTATTCATTTCTGAAAAATAAATTTTAAAGGAAATTTATATTGGATTAAGTTGAATCATTTTTTAATTTTCATAGTAATTAAATTCATAATTTAGTAACCAAATTATCTTTATACTTATCATATATTTTATTACATTTTACTTAAAAAGAGATTAAAAATATTTATATTTAACATATTTAAAAGAAATACTATATAACTAATTCACAAATTAATTTAGGAAGTATTTATTACTTTAGATATAATAGATTTATTTAGAGAAAACCAGTAATACATTTTATGAATTACCTTAATTATAAATTATTAAGAGAATTATGTTGAAATATGAATATATTGATTAATGATTAATTAGAAAATTTATGAATAATTTATCTTTTGATGATATACTTTCTAAGAAAATAAAATTTGGAAAAGTCCAGATTTAAACATTTTTGATCATTAGTTTGATTAATTTAGTAGATGGATCTGAATTCATGTTTTTGCAATTAATGAATGCAATAATTTATAAAGAATGGTCTCTAAGTTTAGGATAATTGATCATTTTAACAACAATTTTCAATTTGGGTCAGTTTATTGGAGCAATGTTTTATGGACAATTTTCTGATAAAACAGGACGTAAATCTATGATAATTTATTCATGTTTACTTTAAGTATCAAATAAGTGTAATATTGTTCATAGCTATGTTACTTACAGCATTTGTTTAAGATTTACCATAACTATTAATATTAAGGTTTTTATTTGGGTTCCTATTTGGGATAACATCACCTGTATCATCAATATTAATGGCAGAAGTAACTCCACTTCATATTAGAGGATAATTTATTGTTGCTTTATAGATTATGTGTATAGTGGGTAGAATGTGGATGTTGTTATTAGCAATAATATTTTTGGATTCTATAGCAACAGGAAATTGGAGAGCCCTTGCAATTACTAATAGTATTCCATGTCTTATTTGTTTGATTGGAATTATTATATATATACATGAATCACCACGTTTTCTTATATCTCAAGGAAATATCAAGGAAGGAGTTGAAGGAATTAACTTTATGGGTAGAATGAATGATAAAGATTACATAGATTTAGAGGATGATGAAATATAATCTCTTTAATAATGGAGGAAGATTATATTTGAATAATAATTTGAATAGAAGAGTTTTAAAGATTTATTTAATCAAGAAAATTTACCAATAACTTGGAGAGCATATTTATTAAGTATAATTGCTATGTTTATGTAATCTGGACTTTATATTATCATACCATTTCTATTTGATGAAGAAGAAAAGACTTTGTTGGATTTATTTTATACTGTATTAATAGAAATCCCAGCTGTTTTATTAGTAGTTTGTTTGATTGACAGAATTGGAAGATTGTCAATAATACTTATAGGAACAATGACATCAATGATTACAGTTTTTATTATTTGGTATTGGAAAGCTAGATTTCTATTAATAGGTTTAATAATATTCAAATTTTTTAATAGAATGATTTTTATTTCATTCACTCCACTTGTTTTAGAATCTTATTCAACTTTATATAGGTCTTTGGGAACAGGTACAACTATTGCTTTTGGTAGCTCAACAGGTTTCTTTTCTCCAGCAATAATACTACATTTATATTAAAAAGATAATTATAGTCCTTTTTTACTTTCATTTTTTATCTTAATTATGATGACAATTATTTTTGCTACTTATCCTAAAGATTTAACAAGAAAACCACTTGATATCAAATTTTAAAAGGAAGATTGAGTAAATTATTATCTAATATTTATTTTTAATAATTTTATTATTCAAATATTAATTATTATAATAATATTATTATGAATATTCATAAATATAATAGAATTAAATATGTTAAAATGAATATTTAAAATAATAGTTAAGAGAATATAAACTATAGAAATATAATAAGATTAATTAATAAATACAATTATCTAATAAGATTAATTAATAATTACAATTATTTAATAAAAATTAAATATTTGAGTACTTGATAATAATATCACTAAAAAGAATGGTCATTTTATATAGTTTTAATTATGAATTCTAAAAACTCTTATTCACTTAAGACAGATTTTTATTGTAAATTAGTTTTGCGTAGAATATTATGCCAATTCTTATCACTAATTCTATTACCTCCAAATATTCTTCTCATTTCTATCATTGATAATGCATTATCTTTATCTACATCTAATTAAGCAAATACTAATTTCAATTTCTCAACTGTTAATAATTTCTTTTTATCTTGACAAGCTAATAAGAATTCTTTATAATAATTTATTATTATTTTATACCTGTATAATCTAAATAACCATTTCCATTTGAATCTATCTTTTTAACCAATTTTTCAATATCTTAATCTTCTAATTTAGTACTTGTTTAATATTTTTTATATCCTCTATCTATAATCAAATAAGTACCTTCAATTAATTCTTAAGTAGATATTTTACCATCTCTATTAGTATCAAATTCTTAAAATATCTAAAATATCTCTCTCTTTTATTCTTAAGTAAGAGTCATTTAAACTATTTACATAATAATAGCTTCTACTAAGACCTCACATTTCTAAAATTTTCTAAGATTAGTCAATGCTGGATTCATTTTCAATGCTTTCTTTTTTTATTTTGCTTTTATTATCCATTTATCCTTTAAAGCATCTTATGCAGAAGGTCTTTGATATTATGAAAAATTTAATAATTTTTTGACAAATTCTCTGGCTTCAGGAATTTTATCCCAATCAAATGTATCTTCTAATTTAACAATACCTCTCATTATGGAATTTTTAATTGATTATGCCATAATACCATCAAATGGCATAGCTCCAGAAAGCAAAAAATGTAATAAAACTCCAGCTGACCAAATATCAGATTTAAAACTATAATTTTCATTAATCATTTCAGGAGATTAATAATATTAATCACCTATTGGTTATTAAAGATTATGTTAAATTTTTTTAGCAGCTCCAAATTCTAAAAAAGTTATTATAAGTTAATCATCACAAAAAAGGGTATTATGATCTTAAAATTAATAATTTTAATTATTATACTTAGAAAACGATATATGATATTTTTAGAATGTAAATATACAAAAGTACTTAATACTTACTCTATAATAACAGCAGCCATTTATTCTGGGTTTCCTCCTTTGTTTATCATTTTACTTAAGAGATTACCACCTACATAATCTTCATAAATAATGTGATAATATTCAGTTTCATTAAAATATTCCATCATTTTGGCAATATTTGGATGATCCTTGCTTTTATATTAAATTTACTAAGTATTGCATTAAATGAATGTTTTTTAAGATCAATACAGGTTCATCTGATTTTGGATCAGTTGATTTTTTTATAGTTTTAACTAACTTGCGAGAATCTGTTTTTTTGCAATAACACCACTGATAAATTCCATATTCAGTAGATAAAAAAGGATTAGGATCAATAATATTGTATTCATCTTTAAATAGGTTCTTATTGAGTTGAAAGCAATCTCCTAAATCAAAAGGCATTTCTGCATAAACAGGGTTTGCTGACATAAATACTCAAAAATGTATACTCTCCAACAATTAATTTTTTGGTATGATTACTTTTAATTTAGATGAATGTCTTTTGTGCACTTCTTCTTTTTGTTATTTTGTAAAACAAGAACCCATAAGTTTAAAATAAATTAAAAAATTATGTCTTAATATAGGCCATAAAGAATCAATGTTTCTCGAACTACATAGCCATAATAAGATAGTTTATTATTAGATAATGAACAATTGAAGAGTCCATAATTTGCTTAAGAATAAAGGTAAGAACTTAATGTATATAAATTAATTTCATAGTACTCTACCTAGAAGTACTTATAGAACACCAGATGCAAGAGTTAATCATTTTGATGGTATATCAAATGAAGAAATATATAAGAAAAAGTATATAGAAAACTTATTATAGAATAAATGAATTGTAAAGATAAAATGATGATTTAAGAGAAAAGTATTTATAGGTATCAAGTGAAAATTAAGTGATAATATAAGAATAAAGAGAAGAAATTGAACAATATTAAAATGAGGTTAATATATTGAAAGAGTAATTAATGTAAAAGGAAATTGAAATGAAATAGTTAAATGATTTAAATCAATCTTTAAAATAAGAAATTAGTGATTGGGAGGGTATTATTATAACTTAATCAATATTCAATAGTTGGTTTTGATAAATTGGAATAAGATTATAATCATAAACTAAAAATTGAAGATGATTCTTAAAGAATATTATAAGAAGTGTAACTATTGAATGAAGAAAATTAGAAATTGTAAGAAGAATATCAAGAAAAAGATAGATTATATAATTAATGCAAATAATAATTATAAAGTATTCAAATTGATTTGAATCAATTGTAATAAGATAGTTAGTACAATCAAGAATTATTGATTTAAAAAGATAGGGAAATTCATGAACTCAAATAATAGATTGAAAGGAATAAGGAACAATCAAGAAAACAATAAGAATTTTCAAATAAAGTATATAATTTTTATTATAAATTTTAAGTAAGATCTATTGACTAAGGAAGTATAAAAGTTGAATCAATAAGTAAAATAATTGTAAAAGGAAAATTAAGATTTGAAGAATGAAAAATAATTAATTTCTTTGGAACTATAAGAAAATAGAGCAAATCCTGAATATTTGAGCAAAATCAATCTTTTAGGATAGGTATATCAATTCTATAATATCAGGAAGTTGAAAGATTAAATAATACATTAGCATTAAAGAGTCGAGAATTAAATGATTATAAAGCTTAGATTAATAGAATGCAGAAAGAAATCTAAAATTTAAGAATGAATGAATTTCAATTACAAGATATGAATATGAGTTTGGATAACTTAATTAATCAATATAATAAATTGAAAGATGACAATTAAATACTAAAATAATAAATATCATAAAAATAAAATAAAATCAATACAGAATTGGATAAGAAAATTTAAATACTTTAATAAGAATGTGAAAAACTTTCATTATAACTCAATTCTAGTAAAAAAGAGAATGATTATTTAAGAGAATAATTAAATATATCATCTTAATTGGAAGATACAAATAGATTATTAAAATCCTAAGTAGATAAATTATAAATGTAAACTAAATAGCTTGAAAATGAAAGATAAAGTTTAATGCAAGAATATCAATTACTATCAAATAGTTACAATAATTAAAAGTTTAATTATTCCTAACTACTACAAGAATAATAAGAAAACAATGATTCAGTATTGTATATTAATTAACACAAAATAGGTTCTCCAATTAAAAAATGAAATATAAAGATTATAAAAGATAATGCAAGATACAGTTGAGAAAAACCCAAATAATTGTAATCATTAAGATATTATATAATAATAATAAAAAGATTTAGAAACAGCTAATAAATAAATTCCTTTATTGAAATAAACAATTTAAAAGTTAAAAAATGAATTAGATATAACAAAAGAGTTTATTACTTAAAATCAATATGAATAATCATAAAGTCAAATAGATTTTAATAATTAAAAGAATAAAGAAAGACTGTAATAGCCTATAATTTAATAGGATTAAAAATTGATTGATAAATTATAGAAATATGAAATAAGATTTCCTCAATTAGTAGAAGAAATAGAGAGACTTAATAAAATATTGACAGAAAGAAATGAAGAAATATTGATTTATAAAAAGAATTCTTTTTAATCTGATTAAGTATTAGAGAAGGTAAATGCATATGAAGGAGAAATAGAGAGATTAAGATAGACAATACTATTAAAATAATAAACAATAGATTCATTATAATAATAGAAAGAGAATCCTGGTGTTTAAGATTTAATTTTTAAATTATAAGATGAAAATAGAAGATTAACAAATTTAGTAAGTGTTAGGAATAATGAGATTGCTGAACTTAAATTTAAATTATCAGAATATGAATAGAAATAAAAATTATTAAGTGAATCTAATTCTGGGAAATATGAATTATAGAATATGATATTAAATTAGGAAATTGATTAATTGAATTAGAAATTATTAGATGCAAAGAATGAAATAAGTTTATTAAAATTAACAAAAAATGATAAATTTAATGAAGAAAGAGTAATAGATTATATAAATTATAATTAGGGGAAAGTATTAACATAAGAATTAGAGAAATAAATAAGGATTAATAAGGAGAATGAAAAAGAATTATTGAGTTTAAGATCTAAATTTGCAGAAGTTGTAGATGCTGAAAGAAAATTAATTGATTGCAAATGTCTATTAGTATTATTGTATAATGAAATAGAAAGACTGAATTAAGAAAAATAAAATGATAATTTGTTATTTTGAATTTATATTTATTTAATTAACAGCTATGGAAAATAATAGATTTTATTCAAATCAATCATGTTAAAGAGAATTAGAGTAACAACTTAAAGATTCATTTTTAGAAATTAAACTCTTAAAATAAGAGAACAAATATTTGTAATTGATTGATTTAATTATTAAATAGATCATCTACTTTTGATGAATTTAAATTAAAATAAGAAGAAACTAGAAAATTGTAATCTTTAGTAGTTGAATTAGAATAAAGAGTATTATCTTTAGAAGAAGATAATGCTAAATTGGAAGCTGAAATAGGATATCTGTAAAAATATTAAATAATATTTATTAGAAGAGGATTTTCATAAAGCAAAGAAATTTAAGTGAATTAAAAAGCTAGTTATGCATAATTAGAATAAGAATTATAAGATTTATAGATATATTTAAGAAAATTTATATAGTTATAAGAATTGTAAGTTATTTAAAATATTTGTTATAGTTTGATTGAACAAGTACCTAATATTAATTTATAATTATGTTGGAAAGAAATTAATTAGATATTTAAAAATTAATTTAATACTAACTAATAAATTTAGAATTTGTAAGATGAATTAAAATTAATTGAAACGACTTATAAAGAACTTGTTCATTCTAAAGATAATAATTTGACATCTTTATAAGAAATGGCTAAATGTATAAATAAATTATATAATTTAGAATAAAGTATTAGAGAATCTAGAGTAGAAATAGAGAGAATAAGAAAAGAAGTTTAATTAAAATAGATGGATGTAAAGTAATCAGAAACTAAATTAAGTGATTTATAAAATGAATTTACTTATATTAGTAAAATAGAAACAAGAAAAAACAATGTTTAATTAGAAGCTGAAAAATAATTAATTGAATTTAGAAGAGGTATTTCTACTACTAAAAATTCTAATCATAATGTATCATTATTAAGAGACACATTCAAAGAAAGAGATACTTATAAAGAAATGATACCTGAGAGATTAAGAGATTAATCAGATGTACTTCCAGTTACTTCTTCAATAAAGAGATTGAATAGACCCTATATTGAAATAAATGATAGATTTGATGATTATCAAGAGGCAACCAAAACTCCAATTGAAAAAACCATTGATTAAACTAGAAAGAAATTAAGTCGACAATTAAGTTAAGCAAGTAGTCTTCGTGATTAAAAATATATTTGATCATTATAATCTTATAATTCATGAAGGAAGTTTTTATAGATATAACCATAACGACATAGGATTAAAGGCTAAATTCTATTAAATTTATTGTTATTGCAGTTGTTATGATTGCAAATACTACTATGATTATTCTTAGGTTGGTAGTCTCAATTAAACATTATTGGAAATAGAGAATTATTATTCCATTTTAATTTGATTCTAAGTGATTACATACAAATGCATACACTTTCTTGTTCAGGCATCGAATTTGAACTTTGATTAGGAAGACTACCTGAAATATGAATAATTTTTCTTATTCTCTCAGGATTAACCAATTATTCAGATTCTTTAAGTTCCTTTTTCTTCTTTTTTTCTGGTATTTTTGCATTATATTCTTCCTCTAATTATTCTTAATCAATTTAATCATCTTCCCTTTTATATTTCAATAAAGAATTGTAAATTCTATGATAAGCTTCTTAAATATCATCCTATATATATATATTAATAATAATTACTAAATTTTAAATTTATGTAAATCCTTTAGGTATATCATTAATATCCATTATGACTTAAACACAATCATTATTAAGAGGATCAAGAAATTCTTAAATTTTCTTCATATTTTATTGAGATTTGGTTTCATTATTTTTACAATCAATATATAAAATGATTAATTTTTATTCTATCTTTTGAATTCCTTATAATGCATTGCTAGTAGAAAGAACATGTTATAATGTTTAGATTAAATTTTCTGGCTATTTTATATAATGATATAGTAATATACTTCTGTAAATTTGATTTTGGCAGAATTTACATACAACGAGATACAAGCACTGAATTTGAGAAGCAAGAAAATGGGATGCTTAACTTTATGCCGAATATTAGGAGCAGTGAAATAATTTATGAGTCCATCAATAGAATTTTTAATTACTTCAGAATTTTAAGGTTTGATTATTAAAAATTATTTCTCCAAATTATTTGGCAAAAATGGATCGAAATATGATTGTAATTTTTAGATCTTTTTAATAATTTGGTCAATTTTACCTTCTGTTTAAAAATATCTCTAGCAGATTTACGTGAATCTACAAAAATTGGAGGGGATATACGAGAATCTAAGATCTAAGGAAATTCAAACTTATTCTAACATAAATACAATGTAATCACTATATGAAATCGTTAATGCTGATCCTATTTTTATACTTTATTACATCATGATTATAAGAAGTAGTATTAAACTTAAGTCCGGAGAAGATACATTTCCCATTCTCCATATCCACTTTAAGATTTCCTTTGGCTCCTACTTCCAAGAGATGATGTGTTTTCATTGGAGTTATTATTGGTTTAACAATTTAGAGTTTACACTTGCTATAATTTTGATAGATACATAAATATTGTTTGGAGGTGCAAGACGCTCATTTGTTAAGGGGTCTGTAATCTATTATATGTTATAACATATAAAAAATATACTTCCATTTCCAAACCTATATCTGGAAGATTCCAACTCTTATGCCAATTCCAACCTAAATTGTCTGTATATATAAATGGTCTGCTCTGATCTATTTTGATATTAATGAGTGGATCTATGGTCCCATTCTCTGCAGGAATCTTAAGTGAAATTTATGGACTCAAATTCCAAGATGTTTGAGTATCCTTTACAATTCGCTTTACATCATAATTACATGGAACCCATTCCCAAATGTTCTTATCTTGTTCTTATTTGATCATTTATTTTTTATAATTTTTTTTACAACAATTATCAAATACTTTTGTGCTTATATTGTTTTATAATCTATAAAGGATATTAATATTTATAATATAGAATATAATGGAAAGGTACTATAATTATTAATAATTTTGATAGATAGCTTATCTAAACAAGTGGACAATTATTATTAGTTAATTTTTTGAGTTCCCATCCTAATGCTAATTTAACTACAATTTTAGATTTTATTGTTTAAGATGGATTCAATGAATAAAATAATAAATTATTCATAGAATAGTATATACTCCTTTAAATATTTTAGTGTTATACAAAGTTATTAAACATTTTGGGAAATGTTATTAATCATTAATTTTGATGAAACATCATAAAACTCTAAGTATCATTTAAATTATTATTTTAAGTTATCCCTTCATTGTCACAGAAATGGTTAAAAATAAACCAGAATAGATCTTTGATTTTCTCTTTCAATTTAATCAAATTGAATTAGATGATTCTATGACTTTTTTATTCTAAACTATTGATAGAGATTGTTTAGATGAGACTATTGCTGGTTATTTTTCAACTTTTATTTGTAGTCTTATAAAAATTAGAGGTTCAGATGTATTTCTATTAAAATTATAATAGCTTTGGAGTTATTTATAAATTAATGGAAAATATATTTATGAAGATCTAATCAAAAATATTCATATCAATCATATAGCTGATATTATTTATAATTTAATAGCATTAATCAATAATAAGGGCAATCTAGCATCTAATTATAATTAAGACAGAATTTGTTTATTAAATAGAACTATTGATATTCTATTAAATAAATATTATGATTCATAAATAGTTGAAAATGTATGCAATATACTAATAGATTTATTAAAAAACGTAACAGAATAGGATCTCAAATAATTGATTCTTGAAAAAATTTGTATTCCTAACTCTTACTTTGATTTAATTGTAATAATAATAATAATAATATATTTAGTTATAAACAAAGTCAAGTTTATTGGCTGACCTTTTAATTTAGTTACTCTATGAAATCTAATAATTTACAATTATCACTCTATAGATATAACCTGATTTTGAATTTAACTATTAATAATTTTAATATATAGGTTAAAGATTTGGCTCAGCTCTTACTATGGAAATTAATATAAGTATTTATTTAAATAAATAATAAGATAATTTTATTAGTACATATGGAGTTTCATAAGAAATATTGGGATATACAAAATTAAAATTAATAGAATTCTATTATAGAATTCTCTAAAACAATAATTTGACTCTTATTAATTATTTTAATCATTAGGAGATTTTTTAAATTCTAATAGATTTTATCTAAAGATTTGAATTCAACAATCAACTTTAAAATTATTTTATGGAAATTATTCTTTTTATCTTTTGCAATCAAAATTTAGGATATATATAATAAATTATTATTGATTCAAATTTTCTTGGATTTTTATATTTCCTTAATAAAGAGTATCTTAAACAAGTTGGTTCAATAAGAAAACCTATTACAAAAGGCTATTAGGGAATTGTTAATAAATTGTCATACTTTTTCAGAGAAGTTAACTATAATGATGAATGGAATCAGTATATTGAAAATCATCAAAAAATATTCAATATCGAAAATAATTATTTATATGGTATTCCTCCTGGATATGAATAAGAAAATTAATAAGAAAATATAATGTATTATTTTAATATAATATATATAGGAAACCTTAATAAGAGGAGAAGTAAGAAGAATCTCCAGAAATTGAAATGGAAACAAATTTACCTATTTAATTAAATAAGGATCAAGGTATAAATATTAACTATCTTTATAGTTAAATAAGCTGTTGTTTTTGCAGAAAATAATTTTTAAGATTAATCTAATTTTGGAGAAGTTCTTGGAGAGTAGATTCTCCATTAAATAACCAAAAAATAAAAAATTTAAATTTCAAAAAGTGGATCATTTGATATTAATACAAAATTTGATTTTAGCACAAGATTTTTTAGGAGATCTTCTTTTTAAAAAGAGAAATATCATATGAAAAGGAGATCTTTATCTTAAGAAAAAGTTAAATAAGTTGAATAGGTTGAAGAAATTAAATTTACTTAAAGTGTAATATTTTAAAGATAAGATGAAACAGATATAACTCAAAATATTGATAATTGATTATTAGAATATATTTATTATAAAAATTGATCATTGATAATTTAAATGGTAATTTAAGAAATAATCAATATATATTATAAAACCATTCAAGTATATTAGTCTTAAATTATCCCAATATACAATTTATTATAAATAAAAATGTATATTCGTTTCTGTCATATTATTAGAACATGATTTCTTTATTTAAATAATTCTTCACAAAAAAACCATTTTTATGCATCCATTTAATTATTGTTAAAGCAAATCTATCAGCAAATGTATTATTTTATTCTTGACATTCTAAAGAACTCATTGCTTTATTAATGATTTCTTATTTAGAATTGGAATATTAATTTAATCTTTGAGATAACTAATATAATTGTGTACGCACTGATATATCACTTAGTTCTTGATTATCATTCATAAAATAATGGAGCAAGAATTGTATTACTTGGAATGGATTTCCACAATTATCTTACAATATTCTAAATAACAAATATTCTTTCCATCTGAAGATACCACTCTTAGATTACTATTTTATAGCTTACATCTACATTAACTCCAAGAGCTCTATATATCTTAAGTAATTCATTCTAACAATGTCCACTCAGGATGTCATTATAAATAACAAAATATTTCATAGGAATTCCATTTTGATTTGTATTTAACATACATAATGATTTATAATCTATATAGTATTTATAAATTTGATAGTTATCTAATTTTTGATTACTTTATTTTATTGAATTAATCATTTCTAAGGTTAAATGATCAATTTATGTATCTTAATCATTTTCTTATTCTTATAATGGTTATATGATTTTAAATTTTGGATTAATATTTTAGACTACTAATTTTGGTAATTATATATCATATTCTTTTTAATATTCAACTAATGATTGAATTTATTTAATTTGTTTTAAATTTTATTTAATTAATTCTTATCTTTTAAAACTACTATCTCCATAAACTATTACATCTTATTTACAACATTATAATATCATTTACTATTTAAAATTCTATAATTATTTGATTCTCTTGCTTATTCTAATACTTTCCTTTATCTTTGGTAATTATTTAATTAGTATCTCTTTTGATTCTGCACATACTAAAGTTGGTGGATTCCAACCCAATTAACAAGCATTCTAAATTTCTATACCATCAAAAAAGGAAATAATTTTTATTGGTTTCTTAATCATCTTAGCTAATTGAAATTTTAAATCATTAATCACTTAAATAGCTAATTCTTTTGATGGTACAAAAAAATAATCAAACATTTTTTATATCTATTAATGTAATAAATTTATACTTAATATTCTTCTCCACTTATTTTAAGTTGATGAAAAAAATTAATCAATTATTAAACATCTTTTAGTTTTGTGAATTGATCTCCTTAGAATCTACTCTAAGGAAAAGAATATGATTATGAATAAGGTAAAAAAAGTGCATATGTCTATTCATTCAATAAATTAGGAATACAATTCTTTGTAAAAGACTCTAATATCTATTTAAAATTAAATTTAAGATAGTCATTTAGTCCATTTTCATCTACATAAAATAAATAAACATATTTTCTAATCTTTAGACATTGAGTTTTATTTGATTTTCCACAATCTACACTTAAACTTACTTAACTATTTCTTAAACTTTTTGCTGGTTTCTCCATCACTGAACTAGTCCTAGTGTGAACTATAGATCTTTCAGTTTGAAACTCTCTCTTGATGTAATTATAATTCAAATAAACTTTCTTTGGTTTTATATGTTGATTATACATATAATAAATTAAAATAATTAATATAATTCCTCTTTATATTATAATTAATTCTATGATAATATGAACACATTTAAAATATCTAATATAAAATACTAAATTCTTCAATTGATATATTTAGTAAATTAATATTTTTTTATTTTAAAATACAATATTCTCAATCAATAAAATTATAAATTAAATATATATATTGAATTCATTAAATTTTTTAATTTTCAAAAAGTATTCTAAATCTACTTGTTATCATATTTTAAAATGAAAAGATTTTATTATTATCTATAAAAATAAGAAATTGCCAACACAATTGAAAATTAAATACTTTTACTTTTCTACAATCAATTATTTCATTTATATATATATATATCTGAAATTGAATTAATCTATAAATATCTAATGAATATTTTAAAAAATCTTGATTTATTTGGAGTACCATTTGTATAAGGAATTGATCATAGTTAATCAAAATACAAGAGCATCTTTGGAGGAATTTTATCTTTAGTTACTTTATCAGCAAGTTTGGCTTATGCAATTTGGATTTTTTATTTGTGGCAAACCAAATAAATGAATCCTAAAATATCTAATTCCAAATATGTTTCTGACTACTCATTCCTTGATCTTAATAAAGACTTCATTAGATTATATTATTGGTAGTATGATGAAAATCTAATTGATCCATTTTAAACAAAAATTCTCTTACCTCTTGTTATCTATAACAGATAAAATTAATTAACATCACCTTAAGTAATAAATACTACTTCAATAACAAGTTATGGAAATACATATATACCAAAAATAGAGTTAGGTTTTACTAAAATAGATGGAGAAATATATACTTCAGAAGAAATGTATATATAAATAGTAATGTGCTCTGAAATTTATTTATAACCTTATGAAAAGTGTGCATCCCCTGAATTAACTGAACAATTTTTCAAATAATCTTCTAATTTAGTTGTGATGCAAATATATTCAACAACCTTAGATTCTCGGGATGGATCAGAATAAATTGGATTACAAGAATTCTATATTTAGATTGAATAATAATTCTGTTATACTATGAATACATTTCTTGAAACCAATTTATATGAACTTTAAGATTACTTTCTATTTGGAACATCTAAATATAAAGAATATATTTCTGGAGCTGTTGTACAGACTTAAACAAGTTCTTCTGAATATTGTTATAAGACTTTTAATAATAATGCTCTCTCTCTAGTTTATTTAGGAATGAATGGAAATTAAATGAAAACCATTTTTGAATATCCTCGTGCAGGAGATATTTTTGCAAATATTGGATCTATTGTTTCTTTATTATTTATGATTAAGTACATAATTATTATTCTGAATCAATATTCTTTAAATTAAAAGATAATAACAGAACTTATATCTTTTTATTATCCAGAGTTTAAAAATATTTGTATTACTAAAAATTGGAGATACAATATAACAATGGTTAAAGTAAATTAAAAGGAAGTAGACATTAAAGAATATATGAAATTTTATAATAAAGTTTAATAGTAAATGCAATAAAAATTATGTTATTTAAATTTATTGTATGAAATATCTAGATTATATTTTATCATTAGATCTTTCAAATATAGATAAGAACTTTATAAATCTCATAGTGTTGGAATAAAAATGAATTTAAATTTGAATAAAGAATTTGATATTATTTACAATTATAATTCAATTAGTTCAGCAAAATCAAATCTTGAAAGTATTGTATTAAATGAAGATGATGCTGATATAATATCATTAACAAGAATAAGACCATAAAATAATTTTGATTGTATTCCAGAAGAAATAATTAATGAAAACGATTTTTATAATACCAATAAAATAGTTTGATTTCTTTATTATTTAATTTTCAATAAATTGAGATTATAAAAATAAGATTAGATTTAAAAAGTTAAAAAATAAAATAAATATTTAACAAATTTTTAACTTTAACTTAAACAATCTAATATGTTTCTCTTCTTTCTTAATAAAAGTTACATTGTTTTTAATATATAATAATTTAATATATATATATAACATTATCATATATATTAATATAGTTTCTTTCTTTTTTTATCAGAATGATTTACCCATCTTTATTATTATAATTTAAATGAATAAATTAAATTAATTTTAATCAAAGAAATATAATCCATTAATAATACAAATAATGAAAAATTGATAATTTATAATTTTTCAATCATTTAAGCCTCTGTAATGCATTTCTATGTTAGGATAATTAGTTGCTTCGAATTTCATTCTAAAGTTATTTAATAATATTTACTTTTCTTCATTCATTTTCTTTCTATAATAATTTATCAATATAAATAGAAGTCCAAATATGATTATAAAACCAAAAGTATATTTAAAGTATCGTTTCCATCTCAATTATTTTATGTATTCATTATTAAAATTGATAGGTTTATAGAATTTTTCTAAATGAATAGTTTCTTAATTTCTTAATTATAGAATAGCTAGAAAATATAGAATATAATCTTACAATCAGTATAGACATTAAATTATATCATTTAAGCATCAACAAGTTTACTTTCATCTAATTGTTAAATTAATGAAAAAGTTAATTCATTTTGATTTGATAGATTTTAATATTATATTTCATACTTATAAGTATCAAAACAATAATCAAAACTTTATGATTAACCTTCCTCAATAAATTAATAAACTAATATATATGCAACCTATAAAACATCAAATTTTGGATTATTTTTGATTTATAATCTTGAACCAGTGACTTTAAGATAATAATTATCATCTTTTTTTTCAAGCTCCCATATCAAATTTCCATCATTTCCAGGTTAAATATCATTAATTGGTATATAAGAATCCTATTTTAAAAGTTGAGCAGTTATAGTAAATGGAGTTGATGAATCTGATTAAGAATTGATTGCACTTGTAACTAAATAATAATAACCAGATTTTTTGACTTCAATAACTTCTATTAAACGATCAGTAACTTAATATTATTTAGTATATTATCCATTTCTTAATAGATCAATATCAGTGGAACCGAATAAATTTAATGGTGATCCACATTACTGTACTTATAATAATAATTTTCCTTCAGATGGACAAAAGTATTCCCAATATTTTGGTTATTTTTTTAATATACTAACACTTTTTTAACCAGGAACCAATATATTGAGAAAACTATTACTAAAAATCAAATTAAAATCAATAGATAACTAATCATTTTTATTATAAATTTCGATTTCGTAATCTCCTGCATGATCCTTAAATTCTGCATAATAATAATAAGAAATTTAAGCTTCTTTTATTGGTTATAGTTGATGAGATTTTTGTTCTTAATTTATGTATTTTACATAAACTTTAGGAACTTCTTTTTTATATTTATCATATTCATATTTTTGATAAGTATTGAATAACATAGTAATTAAAATAGAAAAAGTATTATCATCACTCTTATATACACTATTATAAATGAATTTTTCTGATTATTTTGGATGTAATAAAATATTATAGATTTCACCAACATTTATAAATTTAGTTCCTTAAACATCTCTACATTAAATCTTATAAGTAGCACTTTTATCAAAAGTAGAGATAGTGATATTAAATAGATTTGAAAAATCAGATTTAACTTTCATTAATTCCTCAATATAACCTTAAGAAGTTGTTTCCTTACTCACAGTTTTTTTTATGGGTTTTGTTGAAGAGTCGACACTATATTCAACTTAAACTTTTCCATCTAATACTTCTACTTTCAAAACAGTATCATAAGGACTGTAATAACTGTATTATTGATTTTCTTTTGGATCAAGTTAATTTATCATTATTACATCTTTTGCTAAATAGACTTTTGTTGAATTAACTTGAATAGCTATTATAATATCTGAATCTTATTCTGATTTAACTGCTATAAGATATTTATGTTTCTCTTTTGGTGTAAATTTCATTTATTTTTTATATCCTTTCCCATCATTGTTAAATTGGAAAGTATCTATTTATTTAATAAAGGAATCTGACTCTTTTGAATCATCTGCCAATTCATCTACAAAATATTCAGCAGTTCCACTAGTAGTTTAGAATAATATTTTGAAATCTTCTACAATATATTATTAATATTTAAAATAAGCAATTTCACCTTACTTAAGAACAATATTGTGTGGAATACCTTATTAAATTTAATAATAATGAAATTTCCCAGTTTGATATACTATAGTATAAGAACATGTAGAATATCCAATAACACCAATAAAATAGACTCCAGCCATATCAGGATATTTGGGATTACCACTTTCAATAACTAATTAATCACCCAAATAATCTTTTGATGCCCAATCATATTAATCATTATCTGGATATTTATCCTTACTGACAACAATATTAACATCACAAGATGACATTGGAGTAAGTACAATCATAAGATTTGTATCATCATCATAAACAAAAGCTTTATAGTATTTAATAACATCTTTTTCAATAGATCCATAATAAGCTATTGATTCAGGCAATGAAATAGCACCAGATGAATATTAAATAGAATATGTCTAATCTTTAGTTGGATAATATTCTAAATCTTCTACTTTCATAACTGTGATAGCTAATACACATGAAGATTAACAAAATTATAAGGAATCTGGATGGAGAGTCAATTAACTATGAGGTAATCCAATAATTGTTTTTGAAGTAGAAATGAAATTTTTAGATTCTGTATTTATAGGATAATCATAGATTCCTTTATTTGGATATTGATAAGCATCAAATACAGAAACTAAGATTTACAATGGTTATGGATATCCAAAATTAACAACATTCAAAACAACATCATATCCTTATTAATAAAATAAATAATAGTGATGAAATGATGCAGGTAAATTCTAAGTTACAGGTTCATCTACAGTTAATTAAATTTAAGAGTTATCTTTGGATATTAGTAATGAATAGAAGGTATTAATAGAACTTGTGACTTAGATTTAAACTTAACAGTAAAAGATTTCTGTAATTGAAGTTTTACATTTATCAAGAGG